TTTATTCAAATCATATGTATCTATACAATATAATATTTATTTTCATAAAACGATTTTTTATATTTTATACAGATCTAGACTATAACATTCATACGTCGATCGTGATTATCTAACTATTTTATTTAGAGAATTAGAAATAATTTAAAGTAAATTAGAAAAAGATAAAAAAGATATAACATCGTAGAAAGAATATATCTATTTTTTATCAAAGTACAAATAAATATTGCTATATGCAATTATTACGATCCCATTAAATTTTCAACGATTATTATTTTCATTCAAATTGCTATTAAAAAAAAAAGAATTTTTTTTAAATAAAAAATATGCCGATACTATATAAAATCAAATATTTTTCTTATCACGTAATGAAGTATTAGAAGATGAAGTACACAGTATATCGAGCGTTCCCAAGGTTGTCGGAAAATTAATTATGCGCAACGAAGAATAGCCGTTCGTTCGAAGGTCGCGATGACGTAACGAAGGTAGTAAGACAACTGGACAACGATCGCATAATCGTGATAGATCGATCGGTCGAGGCTGTTATTGAGATCCGCGTAATAATTTTCCTCTCGTCGAGGAAGATGGCTATTCTACAAACGAAAGTAACGTGCGAAATCGGGAATCTCTCTTCTCGCCCGGAAATGTTCTATATTCTACGCGTTTCGTAAGGCTTCTTTCTTATCATCGCGTTAATTGATATTTTTGCTTCGATAATCTACGCGTTCAAAAGTTCCGCCTGTTATGCGAGCAGTAATCGTATTCCGGCACGTGCCGTTGCACATTGCTATAAATTAAGTTTGCCGATAAATTGTTCAGATAATCAGAGTTACGGAAAAGAATGCGATATATGCCTTATTCTTGGCGTTTCACCACTGCTATAATTTTGCATGTGAAAGTCATGTGCAAGCTTGAAAATGGAATAAGATTGCACACGCATTTTTTAATAAAAAGTATTTTATATTATTTAAACTAAAAAGAAAAAAAAGAGAAAGAGAGAAAAAGTAAAAACAATTAGTAAATAAAAATATTAACTAATAAACAGCAGTTATCTTATATTAGAAACAAAGAGCAGCTTTATTATTTAAAAAATAGAATTTATATTAAAATCTGGACACATGTATAAAACGTATGAATTTTGTCATACAAATTTTTTCAGTATTATTATACTACTATTATACTATTTCTTAATTATAATTAAAGAAAGTTTAGAAGTTCTTAATCATTCAGCATTTCCAGTGTTATGCTACTTTATTTATAAAATTAATTAAACGTCATAAGATAAACTGCAGATAAAAAAAAAATTGATAAACACGCGTGCCAATTATTTTAAAAATATCGAAATTTTTAAATTATTATTGATATATATTTGTTTACAATTTTTGCAATAGCGTCCTATATATTGCTCCATAATGCGAGAAATTACTGTATCTGCCTTGTATATATTATTTATAATTATTTTTGAAAATAAATCAAATTAGATAATTGAAAAATAAAATGCAAGTATTAGGATAAAGATGAGGACCGCATAAAAATGACATTTGTATATATCAGTGAACAATCGCGATTTTCAGTAATGAATCTGAAATTTCGCACTCTTATTATTTTACACGCGCTGGAGATCAATGCGCTTCTACTCTCGAGTCGAGCAAGAGACGATAACGTGCTGTTCCAGAGCAGTGATTCCGGTCAGCCGGAATAGCGGTACACGCTCGGCGTACGTCTTCGTTCTCGAATTATTATTATGTTGTTGCTGCTTTCCGCGAGGCGCACAGTAGCACGCTTTGTCGCGAAAGCGGAAGAAACCCGTGCACGCATAATGCACGAAGCCATTTTTTTTTATTTACCGCCACGTATCCGCGGCCTTTCTTTCTGCTCATACTTTTCACATTTTAAATTTAATACGTCCTATATTTCACGGATCGTAAAAATCACATGTTCAGACGAATCTTGTCTGCAGAATTTTTATTTTCCAAATCAAAGTGTTATTTTTACGTACTTTTTCACGCGTGTGAAGTAAGAATCTTCAAAGTATTATAGTCAAACGTGTTCTTTTCAAATTTTGTGAGAACCAATTTTGTTTACCCAGTTTTTTATCATTGATAAAATTAATAATTTATAAATGCAATTTTTTCTTCCGTTTTCAATTTTCAATAAAAATTGTTAATGATTTTCGGTCGAACAGTTTGCGACACTCGGTCCATCGGGAGAGAATGAACGTGAACGTCACTTCTCGTCGAAGCGCGCGGTCAGTGCAGCGCGGTGCATCGGCGCGATATAGCGTGCTGCTGCAGCTGTATCGGATAGTTGGTCGAGGCATGTGCGCCGAGTAACGGCTAATTGGCCACCTTTCCTCTCCGGGAGAGGAACCCTCTCTCTCTTTCTCTTTCGTGGCCGATCCGCGCCAGTTTTGTCCGTTCTGTCGTGCGGTTTACACCGAGCTGGAGCTCCGGCGCCTCCGGGAGAACACTATGAAGTTTCATCGATAATTATTTTTCTTGAAAAAACGACTTTCCGTCAATCGAACTCTTTACATCGTAAGTGATCGTCGTCGTCTTTTCTTTTTAATTTAGGATTTTTTTAGGCAAAACAATATTGTGCAACTTGCATAGAAATATTTTTTTTTAACGATGGGTATTTATAAAATGATACAATTTGCAAAAAATCACTTATACATATTACTTCGCTTATAAATGGGAGAGTGAGAGGAATAATTCTTTTGTAAAAATAAATTTTGAAGAATAAAATTTTGGTCTCTTTATGAAATATAGTCAGTTATAAAATGCGCGGATTTACAGTCGCGAAAAGTGCTTTGCTCCGAATTGATCGCGCGAGTGATCCCCGTGAAAGTGCATCGAATGAAGAAGTCTAATTGTGCGCGCCGTGCTTTTATTAATATAATGCACCGATCCGTTATCTATCGGAAGTTATCGACTTTCTTCGCGAAAAAAGCTTGACAACGATCTACGGAAATTAGAAACTGGAAATGGATTACGAGCGCAAGTTGATTCAGAATATTTTATAATTTCTTTAATAATAACATTTCCAAATACTTTTTAGTGACGCACTTGAATTTGAGCTAGTTTGGAGAGACATCGAAAGAAATATTTTATTTTCTTAAAAAGATTTTATATAGATTTTAGGAGAATTAATATCAATTTTCTTTATTTTAATCAAAGGCAACAATTTATTTAAAAGATTTAAAAGAGACAATTAATAGAAAACGAGAATAATAATATAGTAATTTGATAATTGAGTCGCCAATATTTAATATATAGCAATAAACGTTATTAGTTTATTTTAAGATACATGTTTCTATCATGACATTACATAATAACACACAATGTACGCAGTACATTCGCCTTTCTCTAACACTTTTATTAGATTCAGCGAATTCTACTTATAAATCCTGCAAATATTTCTTTTTATACAAGTATTCTCTCTTTTTCTGGATCATTTTTCTATTTAAGAATGAAAGATATAATTTTGACAGTGATATCATTTGACTTTCTTTCAATTTCAAAACTCACGTTTTCAAAATTAAAAAAAAAAATAACAAATATGTCAGAAAAGTATTTTGAAGAAAATCTTTTTAACAAATAGTTCAAAATAGAAGAAACGGAACAGTATTAATATTATGAAAGTGACATTTCAATTACTCCTCGAGTAATGAGGAAAACTCATTCACGATTTGCGCGAGGTTAAAACAAGTTAACGAAGTGATGCTGTAGATGTAATGAGGGATATTTGCCGTAATCGTCGTGCCCAGTCTTAGCGTGCATGATGCAGCTTAATCGTCCGGCTAATTCGAAGTTTTGCACGCGAGCGACGATTTACGTCGAAAGGGAATTTCGTTCTAATTATTCCGTTCTAATTACAACTAGTATTAGCTTCAAATTTTAAGTGCGTTATTGGCATCGCATTAGACTCTATTATACTATATAGAATAGAAATATCTATGAGAGGTTTCACTTTTTAATATAAATTTTTGCGAGGAAAAAGTCTCTATTCCAATTTGTTAAAGATATATCTGATCATACTCACGAATATTAGGAAATAAAAATATCGGGAACCTTTTTCTCTTAAAGCTCTTCTGTCTTTAATGGATGATACAATTATTTCTATTAAATGAAAAGAGAGATCGTAAATGTTATATCTATTATATGAGATTGCAATAGTCATCGATTTATAGACGGTTTAATATCTCGGCGTCCTCTCACTATCGCCTCCGGCGATATGAAGTGTTATATCTTCACAACACACGTCAATACGAAGAAATGAGACACTAATTTACGCGTAAGAAAGGCTAGAAGTGTTTGTAGAGAAGGCGGTTAATAATTAAAGTTGCTAGCAATTGGCGCTAATAGTATGTATCGTTGAAAACCGGTCTGCAATATGTGTTATGATCATTGATCATGAAGAAGAAACGGGATGGTGACACTTTATTCGGCCTCTCTGCTTAGTAAGCTTTTAATGCTGTTTTGTGATATGATGCACATATGTTTCGAAAAGCATACGGTGCAAAATAAGTGAAGAATATAACACAGTTGAGTACAGTAATAGAAGTGAATAAACGAGATTGATAAGATGTACTTCGAAAAAAAAGAAGAGGAAACTGAATCTTATAAATAACATTGCTCTTGTACTAGTATATATATATTTTTAAAATTTTAACACGTCATAAAATTATATTCTACTGCATTATAATTTATCATTTGTATTACATTTATGCATTTTGATTCCAGTTAATATCAACGATAAGTGATATAAAAATTAATTAATTATAATTAAAAGCTAATAAATTGATACTTAATATTTCGAGCGAATGCGTTTGTCTTTAAAAGTTTCGATAATAAAAAGTATGAATGCGTGGGTGTTACGACTCTCTAGTATAATTTAAAAATGATTAGAACATTATCTATATTTTTCAAATGGCATATCTAACACACGTGTGTAGATGCGCCATTAATTATTGATGTTTCATTATAATCATGTATGTTCAGATCTCCGCGAATCGGAGGTCCTCTGTCGCAGTCCCTGGCTATGATTCCTCCGACCATGCACGGACACGAGTTTAATCAGCCCCTGTCGAGAGTAGTCATGGTCCGTAAAACGGATCAAAGAACCTTCAGCAAAGGCAGACGAGGCGGTGAACCTCTTTTGGAAACTGTTACCAGGGAAACCGTCGAACTCTTCAACGGCGGCCGAGCAGAAAGGAAGTATACTTCCGAAACGAGAGATATTGTTACACCAAAATCAAACAGGTTTGATAATATTCTTTTTATTTAGTGTGAATTCATTTACCGTGATATGCTTTCTGAGTTTTATATTCGTTATAATTTATGAACACTATATACTAATATTTATAGACGATATAAATCCTTAGGATGTCTTAAAAATTTGAATTAAATTGTATAATATATAAGAATGCTTGAATTAGAATATTATTAGTTTTACTAGATAGATTTTGAAGCATCTTAAAATATTCCACTTTATGTAAAACTTTTATTTTTGAATCATTCTTTTCAAATTATAAATTGTATGTAATTTTATTCTTACATATACTCTATCACGATTGATGTTTCATTTTAATGAATAAAGTTTAAAAGATTTTTACAAATTTCAATATTTAAGACAATCATAAGATTATTTTTAAATTAAGCCTTTTGTGGAATCATAATTTAAGGATATAACGAATGAATTTCAAAATAAACATGTGAGGTAATATCAAAACACGTTATGATAATTGAAGTTTAAAGTTACGTAAATCAGCAAGTAGTGATTCAGAGATGATAATAAATAATGTTTTTCAACTACAATTTTAATCATTTATATATATTTTCTACTTCATAAAAACATATTGAACAAGCAAAACACCTGCTATGTTTTATTATAATACATTACGATCTACCTATATCTGATATATGCTTAAAATATTTTATATGCCAAAGAAATGTTAATTTCTCATGTTTCACAAATTCTCTATAAATTTTATTAAAAGAAGAGACACTTTGTCGAAAAAAAATTATCGAAGAAAGATGGTTTTTGAAAATTATTGATGTTGACAAAGAATATATACTTACGTCGCAATATTTAAAATAAATTAATATGATATAATCATGATGTGTTTTGTGTTAGAATATTGAAATATTCTTCGATGTACGTGATTAGAATTGCCTTTCCTTTTTACACTTGATTCTATACCGGAAACTTGTTACACGCGGAAGAGGGATTCGGCAAAGCTTATTAGAATTCTGTCGTAGAATCAGCTATTTCGTGTTCCACTTTCTTTTTTTCATTAGTATTTATATACAAACTGCTTCAATCTCATTACTTTTTTCTTACTTATAGAAATTGATTTGCATTTAATTGCTGAAATGTTTAATATAAAAAAATTAAATTTTTATGATAAATAACAGATATTATATATCTTTGTAAAGCAAGCTCTCACGTCGCGTTATACAATATATAAATATTTCGAGAGAAACCGCAGACCACAAGTATTCAAGTGTCTCGTGTGGAGAACCGTACTTGCTCTTTCATAACTTTCAAAGCCCATGAAGAATTTGAAAAATGCACAGCATTTGAAATATCTCTCACATTCTTGTAGAGCAATTAATTCCTCTCGGCATTCTGTAGCGAGTAATGCTAGAACTTGTACTTTGATCAAATAATAGTAATATATAATAAAATAATTTCATGTTTTTATATGCAAAGTTTTTACGTGCAAAGTGTTTTAGATAAAAAGATTCTGATTTTAATATCAATTTGGCATTTTTCCTTCAACGGAAAATTTAACAAAATATCTTTTCTTATAATTATTCATTTTTCGAAATTATTTTTTGCAAAATTACATATCAGATACAGATTTCTTATTAAAATAGCATTAGTGATATTAAATAAAGGGACTGTTGTTATTTGTCTTTAGTTTTGAAATATATGTTTAATGTTACGAATGCATTGCTGACTTTCGTGATTTACAAAATCATTATTAGTAAAATGTAATACATGATAAATCAAAATTTATTTACTCTCCTATATCTTTTCTTTCAATATTTTATTACTTCCTGTCATTATTACGAGCATGGAGATCCACAAAAATGACTTTATGAGTTGTCTTGCTCCTACCGTGTTCATGAAATGTGAATGCAATTTAACATTCCTCTTGTGTAAATCGTTGCTCTTGTAGTATGCCGTCGCTCAACGTGCAAGGAACGAAAAAGAAGGTGGTCGGTTTTGTCGATCAAGTGTCGCCCGAAAGGTATAATCGCCATATGACAGCGCAAACTTGCAGTCTAGCCAAATTCCGATTCCAGTGAAGCGCAAGTAAGCATATGAAAGACCGTCTGGCTACAGACGGCACCGACAGCATTTTGACGATGTTGTCACTTAGATGCTTTCCGAAACTTCACTAGGATCGGTAAGTGGTCCTAGTTCACTAGCGTATGACGTAGGTGGCACGTAGAAAGCCGAGTGACAGCTGAAAGTTCGCGTGCTTACGTTCAAACGAGTCGCGAGAAGAGACGGCAATTTTATAATAACGTTGTAAATTATCGGCTTTCACGATATAGTGTAACAAGACGATAAGTTTGCTCGTTGCTAAGAGATTGAAACCTGCTGCTGGATAAATTGAAAGCGCATATGAGATTCTCGGACGCTGTAAAATAGATAACTTATATGGTAGATTGATATATTCCTCTCTTTTAATAATTGTAATGATAGCTTGCGAAATAATTTTTACAGTTTAGAAACTATTTTAAGATGTATTAATAATTTTCTAAAAATATAATTTTATCTTGTCTATACAATGTATAAATTATTTTCAATAATAATATTTAATCGTTGTGTAAAAGTTTAAGTTATAAGTAATATTTCATCATTAAGTCATGGGTAACGTCGCTTGTATGCTGACGAATTCGCGAGGAAAAATTCACGGATCGTTTAACTAAATGATTAATCGCACATGAGATTTATTTTGTTGGTATTAAATTCTTATCGGCGAGGAACACATCATCTGCTCGACGTCGAATGCGATTTCGCCCACGCGATCGAGGGAGAACTTTCGGTGCAACTCGTTTGAATGCGTCAAGAATAATAAATACAGTAAGATATTAAAATGAAATGGAAGAAATATGCATGATAAAATATAGCATGTTAAATACGCATGTATCATGTTCCATTTTACTTCAAAGTTTCTTGGTGATTCAGAATTGAAGTCTAGAATTATAGAAAATTTTATAATTCATATATAATTAATTTATAATTTATATTTTATAATGAAGCAATTATAAATATCAAAAATTTTCGTGACTTTAACTTTAAAGACATTCTTTATTTTTTCTCCCAGTTTTAAATAAATTTTGTCTTGCTGATAATTTTCAAGAAATTATTTATAAAAACGTTTAAACTCTTAAAAGTTACAAGAGATCTAAATTTTTATTAAGCAGAAATGAATAAAAAATATTCAAAAAATTCAAGAAATTTTTAGATTTTTTAAGACAAACATGCTGCATTTTATTGTGGCCGAGCCTTTATGGCAGGTATCTCTTTTCCTCTCTCTCTGCGAGCGATGTAACAAAGGAAACGACAACCTTTCTTCCGCGGCGACCATGGCCGTGGATGCTCGTAGGAAGGAGGAAGTGCTCGTAAAAATATATGTGGTGGTACATACGTGAGCGCACGATAAAGCCGCTATTTCATTTCGCGTGATCTTTAACAAGGCCCGGTGAGAGCCTTCGGACTTTCAGCTCTTTCTTAGCTTTCTGATGTCGTAACGTCTTTTTGGGCTGAATACTGAAATTGTAAATTTATTATTCATTATTAAATTTATTATTTAACTTTTTCATACAATCGTGCTGATAATCTAATCCTTACAAATGCAAAAGTATAATGTTATTCCATGATGCAGATTCATTTTAATTTGTGTTTATATTCGAATGTATAGGTAGTTATTTTTTAATTAAAATTTATATCTCTAACTAAATCTTTTCGCGCGCAATAATTTCTTGTGAAAGTTTTTAAGATTTATATTCTAAACAAGTTCTGCTCTAAATACATTCTTGCCATTTGGCATACTGTTGACGTGTTTGCTCTTCAATGAACAGATATCAAATTGCGAATTATTGGAACTCCATGAAAAAAGACATTAATGTTCTCCGAATTTGCAGAAACAGTCTATCTTTGTAAACGTATCAGAACAAATAATCGAATTCTCGAATTCATCAAATAATTTCTGACATTCGAAAATGTTCATTTTCTTGAAAGTCTGATAATTTATCTGTATGATGGAATTAATGGAATGCAATTCACGACAATTATTTGTATCGTAATGGGAAATTAATTGCATAATCCGGCATTGCTATTAATTATATTTAACGTATAATTTTTCGCGAAACAGATTTGCATTATTAACGTATAATGATTAGATATCTGCTGCATGAATTGTTTACACGAACAAATAGTATTCAGCCTATCATGAAACACTCTAGAGGACTAGATTAGAGATATCTTTGTAATTCACACAATGCTGTTATTTGTTAGATGTCTTCACATAACTTCGATAACTTTGATTCAGTACGCATATCATAATTGAGACCATCGCACATCGTAATTTCAATGGCTTTTCAGCTTGCTCACATTTCATCAAGATGCATAAAATGTATCAGGATACTATTTGAAATTACATACGTCACAAGTATTATATGTACTTCACGTAATAACGCAAATATATATAAATATAATATAAAAGTAATTTGATCTTGCCAAGATAAAAGGAAAAAAAATATATGTCAAACATGATAACAGATTACGTCGCATTAAAATAATGTAATTTTATCTGTAATCTGTGTCTTTGAGAATTATCAGAGAAAGGAATGCGGTATTTTTTAAATGCGCTTTTGATGCGTAAGATAAGATTCGCAATTTAAGATAAGAACGCAATTTTCTATTACAAGCTATTACGCTTCTATCACGAAAATATTTGGATCAATCGCACAATCGTTTTAACACGTTTCAACTCATGAAGCTTTTATATCACATGTATTTCATTACCTGTTCGACTGTCGGAATGAGAGGAAGAAAATATGAATTTTGACAAATAAAATTGTAAGATAAATTAGCAACTTAATTAAATTCTTTTTTCTTGTTTTGACATTTTTATATTTTTACAATGTATATACAATTGATAAAAATCTTTATTTTAGTTTTAATCTTATGTTGCATAAAAAAATGATAAAAATTAGCAATTTGGCAATTTTAAATTAAGATTATACTTCCTTTAGTTCCATTATTTCTTTGATATCATTACTTTAATGAGAATTCCTTCTAAAATTCTTTTAAATACATTCTTGTATTAGTGCACTATATTTTTTTCTAAAAACATGATTGATTAATAAAAAACATATCTCACAATTTTCTTTACAATTTCTACAGAACGTGGACTAATTAAGGAATTCTTCTTAAAGCACAAGCAAATTTAAATTAACAAAATTCGATTTATATCTCTCTGCTGAAATAGAGCCACTTCTAATGTAAAAAAAAAAATGTTCAATAAACTCGATCTGCTTGTTTAAAGCGTTCAGTGTTTATGACTGCGCGTCGCTGTGATGTCTGGAGCAAAAAGGAGCTCTGTGTTTCTTCGTATACCGTGTAATCGGTTTACTTTCAGGTCGAGGACGGACTCGGTAAGATCGAAGTCCCCGTTGACGGCGTCGCCGGCATCACCGGGTCCGTTGTCGAATTCCTTGCACGGTAGTTTTCACGGCAGTCTAGGAAGCGATGGCATGTCCTGCAGCAGCGCCAGGTCCTCCTCGGCGTCTCCTGATTCCGCGAGATACTCGTCCTCACAGGTAATGACATTATTGCGCTATTGATTATCGAGATTTCAGAGATCCAAAAATATGTGAATCTACAGTTGCAAGAATAGACAAAGATTTTAAATACGTAGCGCTTCGAAACCTAAGAAGGACTAAAAAATTAAATTTCTAAAGTTATGGAACTAAAAATCGAAGAAGTTCAAACTTTAAAGGTGAAAAGCACACATAAAAGATAAAAGGTAACAAGAGGAGAAAATGGACAAAAATAATTTAAACTAAGACGATGGAAGAGCTCCAAGCTGCATATCTTGATGTAAATGCATGATGCAGACGTTTATGTTGCGCATCGAAATAAAGGAAGCAAACATTATTACGACGCGAGTTGCAGATTGAATTAATAAAATTACACGCAACGCTAATAAGCAATTAGATCGTGCTACTTGTGCTACTTGTGCAATAAATTCCGTTTTTAAAATGCACAGAGTGTTATATTTTATAAAATAACTGTATTTATTTACATTGAATACATTTTTTAAGATGAACTCAATTATAAGCCGTTTATCTAGATTGGATTTTTAAATATAAAATATTTTTAACAGAATCTTGTACTGAATCAACACTGCTAAATAATTTTGAGGTTCGATATTTATACATTGTAAAGAAAATGTCTCAATTAGAGGTACAGAAGCAAAAATGTTACTCCGACTTTATCGACGAGACGACTTTCTTTAGGAGATAGTTTCTCATTATCTGTCGCATTAGTTTGCCGCAATCTTCTCGTATTAAGGGAGTCTTTTGGTTTCAACCTACTTGGTAATTAGCCGGTTGGAAAGCATAGCTCGCCATACGTGACGTTGCGTGCAACGTGTGAAAAGAGCCTAAACATCATAAGACTTCTCTCTTCACGAAGAAGTGCATTGCCATCTCGCTATGACTCATCATGATCCTTTTTTTAAGAGTCACGTCCGACCGTTTCGCACGATTGTGAACCATATCGGCGGATCATTACGCCATACAGTCATCATTTGGTCCACGCGATGACTAATTTGCCTGAACTATGCGCTCGCGCGGAATCGATTTTTCCGCTCCATTTTCCGCGTCGTGTTCCCATTCGCGCGACTTGTTCTTCGTATATGCGCGTCAAGTTTTTGCACTCACGTTAATAATTTGTATCATAAATCGATGCATATTCATTAAACGGCAGACTTATATGTCTTAGTAATCGTCAAGATCTCAATCAATTATCTAATGCTAAATTAATGGTCGATCGAAAGAATTTGTTTGAATTTGGATACATATTGGAACAAAGGTATTTAATTGGCTCCAATATGATACATATTTATGTTTTTTTATTTCATTAAGTCATTGCCTACGTTGTGCGAATGATTGATAATTAAACAGACAATCGCGACGATAAGCTGTGAAGCTATCGTCAATTAAAGTCCCACGAGAATTATCGCTGTTTCATGCTATTCCGAGCTGTGCCAAATTGCGATCTCTAATTTAATCTTCGGACTTACATCTGAAAAAGACATAATTTTCTCGTCATTCATATATCGTTGATTAATTCATGCGAAGCAGAAACGAGCAAAAGTTCACGAGTTTCTTGATCATGTGGAAGAACATATTCTTATAGGACGATATGGGAAGTAATTGGTGTCGGTTAGTATACTATCTACAGATGGTTCCGCGTTTAAGTTATTAAGGAAAATGCCTAGCTTTTATCATTAATTTACATTGCTTTTTATCACGCGTATGCGTGTTCATTTTATTTACGCTGCATTTTAATTAATACATAATAAATAATGTTCCAAAGATACAAAACAAACGGTTAATTAGTAAGTATAGTTAATTGCCTTCACCACGATCTTTGTGCGAGTATAAATTATTAAGAAATTATCAAGATTTTATTAAAACAGATTTGATTATGAAATCTGCGGATTTTGGTCCGTCATACGGTGTTTTCTCTATATGTTGTAGATAACAAAGACTGACACGCGTAAACCGTCTGTGCGCAGATCGGGGCCTCCGAAGGAATTCATCAACGTCTGCCTCGACACGCACAATTTCTACCGATCACGGCATGGAGCACCACCATTACGACTCAGCAAACAGGTTACTGTCGATTTTCTTTCTGCACCGCAATAAAGTCATGTAGCTGCGATCGAACAACTTCCGAGAATCGAAGAAGCCCGATTTTTTTTATGCTCGCGATGCTCTTTGCATCGTATTCGAAAGTTCTTGGAACCGTCTATATTAGCGTCTTTACACCGGAAACGATAAGCAGAGGTCGTTTAATAATTTACAGCTGTGCAAGACAAGTCAAGACTGGGCTAACATATTAGCGGCTAGGGGTAGATTAGAACACAGGGCGAACATTGACTATGGAGAAAATCTGTATTGTATATGGAGCTCCAATCCGAAAACTATCGTCGGTGGCGAAGAGCCAGTAAATGAATGGTAAAATTTATAATATTAAATTAAATACTTGTATTTAATTTATGTCAAATTGTTTTTTTTTTTTTTTTTTTTTTTATTAATTAGACATTTAAATTATCTTAATTGAAATTCTACCTTTTGCAGGTATGCTGAAGAAACTCAGCATCAGTATGGAAAGGAGCCTACAACGTTGAAGACTGGTCACTTCACTCAAGTGATCTGGAGAGACAGTACTGAATTAGGAGTGGGAATGGCTAGGAATCGAAATGGTGAAGTTTACGTTGTGTGTAACTACAATCCCGCTGGAAATTTCTTAGGCAGTTTTACGGAGAATGTTCTTTCACCTGTGGAGACTAGTCCTGCAAAACGAATTAATTTTACCGACTTTAAGCAACAGTATACGATGAACGAGCAAGCGTGGCAGCAGGAAGCATTGCTGGTTCACAATGAGTACAGAAGAAAACATCGTGTGTCGGACCTGAGATTGAGTCCGGAATTAACGGCTGCTGCCAAGGTAATTTTGAAATAATATTGTAATTATAGCTCATTAAAATATACACATTATGGTTTTAATTCTATTTTTTCATATTTATTTTAGACTAGAATATGATTGAGAGAGAACGGAGATTGTAAACATTACATAAAAATCAAATGCGTTATTTATTTTTCCGTAGGCTTGGGCGAACACATTGCTAAACACAAATAAATTAATACCTCAATCTTCGTCTTCATACGGCGAAAATATATATTCGATGCAGTGTTCCGATCCCAAACTGATCGTCTCTGCGCGTGAAGTCATTTCAAAGTGGTATTCCGAGAAGAAAGAGCATAAATTTGGCGTCGAGCCGAAAGTTCTCAATACATGTACGTATAAAATAATGTTTTAGAGATCGATTCGATTCTATTTATATTTATTTTATGTTTATCATTATGCTTAATTATATTTAATATATATACTTAATAATTTTTGACACTATAAAAATTATACATATTAAGACTTAACGTGCAATAAGATTATAAAAGTAAGTAAAATATATGTTTATGTTTGCAATATTTCTCTATTTCTTGTTTCATTTATAGGTCATTTTACCCAAATCGTCTGGAAAAACACGACTGAAATGGGTATTGCTATGGCCAAACGAGATGGTACGTGTGTTATAGTGGCATGTTACCATCCAAGAGGTAATATAGTAGGACAGTTTACTGAAAATGTATTAAAACCTATAAAAAATGTCTGTTAGCTGATTAAGGTCCTTTTGTCGATAATATATTTAAGCTTTATTTAAGCTGTATTTATGTATCGTACAGATGACGTTACGCATAATATACATATGTAATGTACATATGACACTTTGTGCATACACGTAGAATAAATACATTCCACGTACACATATTTATAATTTTTGGTTTTATTTTTTGTACTTCTTCTAACTTTATCAGGTGATAAAATATATATCAGGTAATTATTTTTTTTTACAATAATCTCTCTTCTATCAAAGATCGCAATGACTTTTTTGTGGCTTCGATATAAAAACTTATATTTATATTGTGCATTTATTTAAATGATGTGATAGAATTCTATATAAAATTATTAATTTTTAAAATAAATAAGATTCTTTCATAGCCAAATCAGGTAATGATTTTAATTTTTTTATTAATTGTATGATTAATCATAAAAAAGAATTAAAATATCTTACTATTTTGTCTTTTAAAAATATGAATTTTTTGTGAGAGCACGTAAAATAAATTTCTGCAAATATGCCTAATATATTATTATTCTTTGAGATGATATATGTATATGATTATAATATTAACCTTTTGCGATCCATGTGTTTTTCCCAGGCAGAGTGTCTAGCATTATTTTATATTTTATAATTAATTATTTATTTTATCATTATTTTAGTGACAAAATAAAATACCAATTAAGAATTTAATTAGACTCTCAACGAAATACAAATTTAAATTTTAATGAAAGAAGCGGTGAATGTGCGTCAATTTCAAGGAAAATTAATTTTTCGTTAAAATTGATTAGTTGTGCACAGGTTAAGCACTAATTTTCCGATATTTTTCTCGACTACACTTCTTTAGAAAGGTTAGAAAATATCAAAATTTTGAATTGACATTAATTTAATTATTTAGTATTGCACTAAGAAAAATTTGTACTCCGTGCATAATTAATTAGTTTCTATAAGAAATTAATTTTACTTAAAATGCACTATCATCTGCATCTTTCTAGCTCGGTTAAAATTTAATAATAAAATGTGTCTCTTGTAAGCATTGTGATATAATTTTAATATTAAATTACTTTATTTTATAGTATAATATTATTCAAAAATTCAGATATTTGCTTGTAATGTGTCGCATGAGAATTAAATTGCGAATCACAGAAGATTAATATGTACCTAATATAATAAATAAATCAAAGAAATAACTTTTTATAAATAATGATATTGATGATATAACAATTAATTAAGCAGTTTTCCATTTTGGAGATTTATAATAATTTATTTATAATAAATTTACATGCACACATCACACGCATCGCGTTACAACGTCGCATTTATATATATATTTTATATATATATATATATATATATATATATATATATATATATAGATACATTCTCTCTCTGTTTTCTGCTTTTATTATTTTACATTACGTACAGCCGTTTACAATTGTGTTTGTGGTCGAGAAATGCTTAATTATTTAAATCTTATTGTAAGAACCTTGCTGGACGCTTCTATAAGATTTGCGCCGTTCAAAGAGAGCTCATTCGAGATTCGTTAAGCTCTTGCTTAAACTTTCGAAGGAACTTGTGTGCATTCGCGAGAAAACACGTGCGTCTTTCTTCGAAATGGAAAACAAGTTTCAAATATATAGTCACTTTTAATCGGTCAACCATAGTGTAATTATGATAAAATTATTAATTAGTAATTAGAATACGTTAATGTGTCTATTATTAAAAAAGTATGTGTGATTTAATCGTTTTTTTCAAAACCAAGCATTTTTTATTCTTTTAATTTTACAAGTTATATCATTAATTTTAAGTATATCTTTGAAAACAGACTATAAATGTGGCATAAAATATTTTATATATAGATAAAAAAATATTTATTAAAATTTGTTTCTCATGTTGATATTAATCTTCATATTAAACGAAAATTTAGACTCACAAAATTAAACAACTAAATTAAATGCAATACTCTAATTATAGAAAAAAATATAAAATATAAACCAATATTTTACATTATATAAAATAGATATAAAAATATATCTAAATTAAGAAAAATAAATGCTCGATTTTTGCATTCTAAAGGCACGAGAACTTTAATAAATGATTTTATAAACATTAAAGTAACAAAAATTTGTGCTACTCGAATTTTACATCACAAATGTGAAAAATAGGTTCTCCATTATTAAAACGATATTAAAATCCTTAAACATAAGTAAAATTGTCACTAAATATAGAATATAAATGAAGGGAAAGAGAATTTGATTATCGGTCTTTGTTTTATACTGATTTTACTATATTTGAATAAAATCCGAAAAATTGTGAATTTATATTCTATTTTGTTAACACTTAATAAGTTTTAAATTTTCCTATGGAAAAGAGGAATAGACGAATATTTTCGTAAAAAATTCTGATTATTTCAAATTAATTAATTACTAATAAGAGAGAACTATGTGAGTCGTGTTTTTATTTCTACGCTCGCAGATTTTACATTTTTTAATATAAGTTCAAATAAATGTAATAAATATATATCTCTTTTTTTAAAGAATATCATTAATCAAATTCGATTTTCTGCTTTTCGAAGAGTCAAACACACGTCACGATAAATTATCGTACTCTATTTACACTATGCAATAATTTCATATTTCAATTCTTGCATATTGCAAAAAGAATTTTATGCGAAAGTTTGCGGAATCGATCACATTTCTCTATCTCTCTCTCTCTTTTCTCTTTCTTTCTCTCTTTCATCCAACACGTAATTTAAATAATTTTTCTTGCGAAAAATTGCCGCATTAAATTGTAACGTAGTACTCTATAGATTATTGATCTGAGCTATGAAGAGTCAGGTCACATTATTTTATTGGGTTGATTCTATATATAATTAATTTTAAATATATACATTCTCCGATTTTTTTCATTCTAGAAACATGCGAGAACATTCTTGATGCATCTAATTAGCATTAAATTTATTTCTGCAATTTCATATAATATAATTTATTAACACTTGTTCTATTCAAAGAAAGAAAATCTAGAAAATATGAAAATGAAGAAATATTGTTAAATTTAACTTTTCCTCAAAAATAAATTAAAAATAAATCCAAAAAAGAAACTATGACAAATTTGAGCAATGGATTTAAAATTTTGAAAATTGAAGATTCTTTTCGGTTACAAAATCATGAATAATCTTTTTTGTTCTCATTTCGCTAGTATTATTTGAAATGAAAGCATATCAAAATTATGGTCCGATTGGAGCAGATTTATGCCACATTTATTCTTCGATAAAATTATATAAAACTGTCGAATTTCTCCAAGGCGTTTTTACTATTTCGAACGAGCTCGCACTTGCTCATTGTTTTCAGGATGCAGCATTCTGTTCTATATATTAATTATCGAAAATCCTCTATCATTTTCATCCGAAAGATAACTCACTCGCGTCTCATCTACATAGAAAAGTTTATAGATCGTCGTCGCCGGCGAAGGTGACACAGTCTCCTCAATGCTAATCGAAGAGAGAAGGATAGAGAGCTAACGAAGGGAAAAGAGTAATATAGAGTGAGAGAGAACACGCGATATGATTAAAGATTGAAAGTTTGAATTTTAAACAGGCGACCAAATGCTGAAAATAATCCATATTGCTCTGATTAAACATTAGGATAACAAAAATGTAATAATTTGACACGTACAATAATTCTGATAATCTTGAAACGAGTCGCATGCCTATCTCAACTTTGTAAAAATAAATTATTATATTAATTTTGACTTAATTTTGAATTGAAAATTTAGTTATTTATTCCACGAAACAACTTTTCAATTATTTCATGTTTTATATTTTATATTTGTTCTTGAAAACATCTGATTTTTGTTTTCAAATCTTTAATTGAAGAAAGTTATCCAAATTAGACAATAATTTATTAATTGAAAATAATTAATCCAAATAGGTAATTAAAATAAATAGGATTATCCAAATTAGACAATAATTAAAAATTAATAGTATTTTTAATTTTATTTTATATAAGTTTTTAATATAAGAAAACTTGCTTTTTTTAACATCTTCATTAATATACTATTATTCGCATTGCAATTGTTAGTATTTTATTAGAATGTAAAGACGCTCTTTTTTAATCAAAAGTTGATGAAATAAAATAATAAAAATTAATTTAAAAAATTGCAAGTTGTTTCGTGAAATATTTAATTTTTGGTCGCACATAACGGAGTCGATCTAGCTAGACTTAATGAAAGTAATATCGAAGCAGGTACTTTAATATACGACTCGTTTGGTCGAAGAAATGTGTAAATTGGTCAACAAACGATTGCATTTGGCTGCGAACGTCACGTTAAAATTGCGACGCTAATATATTAAAAATTTAATCGTATTGTAAACTGGTTGCATCTACTTTATTATTACTAATCATGATGCAGCCATATCTTGTATAGACAATATTTCATTGCTAAAATATTTCGGATTTTTCTTTAAAAATTGTCCGAAGATTTTTTTAAACAATTTAGAATATTAATATTAACAATCTAGAAAGATACAAGAAATTGCTATTCACAGTTAGATAATCATAATTCAATCGATGCAACCTGTCCTGAATGACGACTCTCGTATTTGACTAACTAATTGAATTATTCAAGCAAGAATAATCATACCCACTTGCTAAGAACAACTGATTTGTTTTCTCTGATACGTCTTGTGTGCTCAGAATAGAGGCTGAAATTAATGCGAAATTATTATTAAGTAGAAGAGAAGAAGAAGGTAGTACTACCTTTCGTGCGATTCATTTGCGATCAATTCTCATCTATTCGCAATTTTCGCAATGCCATTCTTGTCTCTATATTGGTTTGAAATATCGGCCATAAATCTCGGCGACGTCACGGAGAATCGACAAGCGTATAGTCGATAATCGTCCTGCGACTCGACGTTATATATCCACCGTGAACGATATATCATCAGTTACGCTACAATTCACGATAATATACGCGCGTCTTCTAAGCACTTAAATCTTGCCTAATATACTCTTTCCTCCTATTTACGTAGAATATAATGTGATTTCCGCGCGAGCGGCACTCTCGCGTGATATGATTAAAATGGTCATACATCGTATCTTTATTAGTATTTAGTATATAATAGACTCTCTTTTTTTTTCGTGTCTCTCGTAAATTTCTCTAATATAAAATTATTCGCGCTCGACCGCTGAACGCGACGATAAATAGGAATCGAGGAGTGCGTTGTAGAATATTCCTATATCATATTGATCTCGTTTCATACCTCGAAAATGTATAATATGAAATGAACGACAAACAAACAGCTATTATGAATCAACTGCGATTTCAGTTTATATATAAGTGATTATTTTATTTTAATACATATTTAAAGAGGAAAGAATTTGATCTTATAAAATTAAGTAAAAAAGTATTTTAGAGAGATTAATATTTTTTTATGAAAAAAAAGTAAGAGCAATTTTATAATTTCGTAATATTCGATTAAATTAATCTTCTGTCATATATTGATCAAAATATTTTTATGTGTAAAGGCAAATTAAATCGAATATAAAGTTAAAGAGAAAATATAACATATATTTGAAAATGGATATAGAAAATAATATCAAATCGTGATAATTTGCATTGGTCGCAAGTGATTCAGAATAGATATGTTCAGCCGTCATACGACGCGCTTTTTTAAGTGCCTTTCGCCTTATAATGTCAACTCGCGCGATCTACATTCTGATGAATGAAATCGCATGCATGGACGTCAGGACGCTAGAGGCGACCTAGAGAGCAAAACGTTTTAAGAACGCAGCCTGCTACAGGTACAAGTTACAAAAGTAAGGTACACTGAAATAAAGCTGTCATAACGCATTACATCGCCTTCTAACAACGAAATGTCGCGTGTTAGTTCCTAACTGACACTCAACACGATTCTTCACTCATAGCATCGACCTTCCAGAAGACTGTAGTTCCACAGGGAATCAAAGTCTGTCATATCACAGTTGCGATTCGATATACCAGCGCTTAGGTCCACGAATTGCAATGAATCGTGCCGCCTCAAAAACAAAAAGACAATATACTACTGTAAATTGAAGTGAGAATAATTCAGCAATATTAATTTGGCGTCGAAACTGAAATAAAAAATAAAGCGTCTAAAATTTTACCAACATTTTTCATCGATTTTATTTTCGTAAATAAAAAATTTTTTTACATCAATATACTTATATCACACAAGAACTATAATAAATAGACAGATACTGAGAAGTAATAAAAGTTGGAATATTGTCGACGCAATCGGACCTAAATTAAAACCAAATTAATCTTGCCGAGGTAATCTCGCCCGAAATTCACTCTATTCGACATTCAGAACAGTCAGCAGCCCGACGCGATCGGTTTCATCGAAACATCTTGCTCTCCGGCCGTCTCATATTCATCCGGCTCGGTCAAGTCCCACGGAACATATACTTGTTCTATCGATTCGCTATGTACGATCGCCCGTAGAGACGTCGTTCTCGACGCCCAGTCTCGAACGCCGAATGTGGGAACGCTACAGCCATTTATTTCGCGCCACGCCGGAGAGCCTGCGTCCCCACATAAGGTTATATCATACTATTGTTCCCTGTATGTGCTGCGGATCCTGCGCGGCACCTTGCATCTGGGGAGATTGGCAGGGCGAGCCTCCTATCGGGCATTGAAGCGAGGGTGGATCGTAGAGGCCACCCAGGGAGCCACCGAGGCCCGCGCCGAGGCTAGGACCCAAGGCCGCGTTGAGCTCGGGCATGGAAGGCAGACCCACGTCCAGGATACCGGTGTTGCTGGCGCCGCCGGTCTGCGAGCCCTCTTCCGGCGGCGTCACCTCCAGCCCGATCGAGCCGTTCAACGCGATCTTGATCGGATTGTGATTCGAGGGATGCGAGAGCGCACCCAGACCGATGTCCTCTAAACTGCTCTTCCGCCTGGCCGTCGTCGTCAGGCTCTGCCTCAGAGAGTTGCTGCGTCGCAGCAAGATGTCATCGACCACTCGAAGGGAATTCGAGCGACCGCGCAGAGTTCCAGCCACGGTGGGACTGTCAGGCAGGGACAGCGAGTTCGACTTGGTCGTGCCGAGAGGTGGCGCCCTGGCCAGACCTATGCTGGATCCTCGACGACTTCCGGGACCACCTGTTTGGAGACCGGCGGCCGCGACCGCCGCGCTCATCTGCGACACCAGTTGCGCCGAGCAGAAGCTGATGTTGCTCTTGCGCCGAGAGTTGTGCCGCTCGAACGTCTTCTGGGCGGAGAACGGGCTCGGCCGCACCAGGTAGACGATGTCACCCTCCTCGAGCTTCAGGTCGCAGCTCGGATTGATGATGACGTAGGAGAGGCTGCTGCGCTTCTCCGACACGTCGTCGTAATCGGCGACCGGCAGGTTCAGCGATTCCATCCGCGAGCGCACGAGATTCGCGATCTCCGCACGTTCGATCTGCTGCGCGTGGTTGTCGCGCGCCTCGTCGCCGAGGCTCACCGAATACTGGAGATATGGAAAGGAGATTGAGTGTTAGTACAGCCCTCGCTGAACAGGCAGTCTGCTGTGACGATCGGTAATATCAATTTGAGGCAGCTTGAACAGCGCCATAATTAACATAAATATCGTGCATGAAGTGTAGTAAATGCAATTTTTGATTGTTACATTAATAATTTGCAGTATAAGCTCGAGTGTCGCGTCTTGATGAACGGAGAAAATTTTCTCTTAGAAGTGGAACAATGTATGATGTTGGAAGAATTTTATAAAAGTTTCTCTGATTAATATTTATTACAATAAAAAATCAATTTTACTATGTATGTGCATAATAAAATTAATCGAACACATTTTATATTTTATTGTGGTAGATATTAATATTTTTTATTGTGGTAAATTAATCAGAAAAATTCTTTCAATATCATATTGTCTTATGATTTGCAGAGGGTAAATTTTAAAAGAAAATTATCTCTGTGTAAAATTGTGATAAAATCTCTATTTAATTCAAAAATTTTCTGATTTGACAAAGTGTTGTACTGTTCATTATAAATTTAGAAATATAATAAGCTTCTCGAGAGAGAAAGTTATGATGAATTAATATATTCAGGTGCGAGTTATCTAATGCAATAAATATTAATTAATAAATGTATCACGTTGTACTATGTGCCAGATGCAACAAGTGGTTTGATGCAGCTTTCAGGATAATATATTACAATGTTATCGTTAAATTGTATCATTAAAACAGTATCTTCAACAGGTATTTTCTCTGATATCAGTTGAACGTCACAATCCATTGGCCTTAAATCTAAACAATAAACAAAATCATCTTCGACTCGTAGAGATCGAAAATTCCTAATACAAACATAATTGATTGTGCATGCAACGATTGCATTTTACATGCGCTGCTGTGCTGCGTCAAACGGGTCTGGACGTCCATCAGAAAGATGTGTGAGCGTGACAGAAAAAGAAGAAGGGAATTACAGGTACAGAGATATAAGAGAGCGATAGAGTAAAAAAACAGGCAGAAAAAACGTGGTGTGAACATATATGTATATACAAAATTTATATAATAACAGAAACGATCGGAAGAGAAAAAAAGAAAGAGGAACAGCCACCACGGTCGACGTTTTACTCACAGCAGATGCACCCTTGTCACGGGTGGCGCAATTCGCAAGGCATGATGCTGCCGCCGAATGACGCATCTTGTACGTCACACCGACGCCGGTGTCGCTTTCCGCGTCTGAATCGCCCTGCTAAAACGACAAGCAATTTCTACCCTTACTAATGGTGGCGCATCGTCGCGCAATATTTCGCGTGAACGATTAGATCGATCGCCCTTGCTCGGTTCCTTCCGTCCTAGAGAAGTAAGGGCGCACGAAACTCTTTCTCTTATGTCTTTCAAAATTATAACATCAATAAATCATCTATGCTCTTCCGTGGAAAGAAACAATAGATTTGATATATTAAAGCTATATGTAGAATCTATCAATCTGCTAGGTCCACGGTATACTTTATCATTATCACAGAAGTTATATCAATGAAAGCAGCGTCGTAAGAGCACACACTAATTCTAGCACAATGCAAATTCAAAGACGCAAGAGATCAATGAATTGGGAAGATAATGCGTGCTATGAGAATTAAGTTCGTTCAAGATGCAACGGTCCCGCGGTTTAATTAATTACGCGCGGCAGGATTAGGTCGAAGAATGTCACGAGAAGAAAGATAAGGGATAGGAAACGAAACCAAGAAAAAGAGCGAGAGCACAAGCATGCGCTACTCACAGCCGCCATTCAAAAATTTTTTTCCTATCTTTATGAAAAGTATACAAGTATCAAACTACTTCGGTTAGACTTCCTTCTAGACGAGAAATGTGAAATTACACTTACGTGCGACGAATCGGAAACGGTAGTGTCCTGCGTTCTGTATATTCCGATTGGTATCTCGCAAGTGGTCGAGCAGAGCTTCTGATACAATCTGCCGTACGTCCTTATCCACATGTCATCCTTCGTTATACGCATCTGCAATTATCATTGTCGTGATTAGCAAAATAATATCGGTAAGAAATATAAAATTATATTAATTATTTTGTAACAACTTTTATATAAAAATTTTAATCCTTTAATTGCCATCTTTTTACTTATATTGTGTCATATTGAAAAATTTTATATATTAATAAGAAATATATTTTTAAGAGTTACTCTCACCGATGTAAGAAACCCAGATCCTGGCGCTTGGTCCACTCCTAATAATAATCTCACGAACGTTATTACGTAGTCCTTGACGAATGCTTGATAAAGCAAAGTATCTAACATCGAGGCGCTGAAGACACTTCCGGCGGCGAACGGTAATCGGAACATGTACGATATGTGAGATCCTCTTTCCTTTTCTCTCTACAAACATGCATGATATTAATGGTTAATTTTATTTTTTTATAAATAATATCGCTATTTGTTGTGCGCAATTGTTCCTAGAATCCGTCATAAACTCTTATATACATACATATCTTCCGGCAACATGCACGAACATTTCTTTTTTTTTTCATTATGTATGTCCCGAATATGTCAATATTTTAAATCTGACATGAAATAGCAGTTATCAATTTGTCTAACAATAAGTGTATATCTAACAAATACACGCAAGTATTCGTATATTTTTATTATAGTGATCGTATCAATCACGTTAAACATATACTATTATTTAAAATAAGCAATTTAAAAGTTTTTAATTTTTAATCAATATTGATCATAATTTAATAAATAATCTATAATATAATTGTCAAAATTTATTAAATAAATAATTTATCTGTAACGCTTAATATATTACAATATAATTATAAAATATGTATATTTAATGATAAAAAAAATTAACTTTTTAATTTTCTTCTCTAATTATTTCAATTATTAATTTAATTCATACAGAAATTTTTGAAATATAATATTTGCGTGGATTTATTATACCAGATATGTTAACAATATCGGATCCATTATCCAATGTCAAATATTTCAAATATGCAAATTATTTAGACATCCATCCATGTCGCAACGCATCGTGCAATGTAGCATGAAAGATACGAAGGAAATACGTAGATGTTATCGCGTATGATATCGCGATAATAAGTAATGACATGGCATAACAAGACGAGGGTGAAAAGGACACCCAACTTTGATGTGGAAATTTCAGTTCTCAAATGTGACATTTATATGATAATAAGATATAGATATTAATATTACTGTAAATTTGTGCAGCTAAAATATTAACGGCATTCCGTGAAACGAAGCTAAAATAGACATAGTTGCATAATTATATATATATTGTTTTAGTTTTAAACATAAATTCGCATTGATTAGTATTCCTCTAAATCATAATCAAACAACAATGTTATTATAATTTAAAATATATAACTCTAAGCTACAAATATTATGTACAGTATATGTATTCTATATTTCATTCATCTATATTCAGTTGTGTCGTAACAATAAAATTTACAAGGAAATTTCAATTTCAGGATATTTGTTATTTGAAATTTTAGAATGAGCATATATTTGATAGAGCAACACTTAAAACTTGTGTAGAAATTATAGAAAATTTACTAATTAAAATATGTGCAGGGTTTGACAAAATTAGTCAATAGCTCATGCTTTTTAAGTAATGTGTAATCTGTAGAAAAAAATAAGATATTACTATATGCTTGCAGAAAGAATATCTATAACAGGTTGAGAGATTCTAATCTATTAAGCGGTATTAATTTTTTTTATGTATAATCTATATATTATATGTATATACATATATTATTGTATATACATATATGTCATACTGTGCTATAACATCCGTTTAAAATTTAAAAAATCTTAGAAAGAACAGCTATCGATATGTTAAACTTAATGGGAGCTAGTAGCTAATAACTATACGCATATAAAGGATAATCAATTTATTGTGAGACGCATGCATCGATATCTAAATTCTTAATCCTTTCAATACGAAAACAGCGCAAAACGATCGCTACGAGATAATATAGATCCGACTTCCGGTGTCACATCATTATTACATTAACTAAATATTAACATATTAAAATAGATGTGAATGCCTTCCGTAACAAAAGGATCAAGCAACTATCTATAAAATTGCCAGTGTTCTCCACGTTTTTATCGCTCTCGTAAGATACCAGTCATTTGTAAAAAGAAGAAGAATTCTTCGTCTTTTTAACAGTTCGGTCAAATTTTATCACACGGATAAATGCTTTTTAATCAGCAAATTTGTTTTGCAAACCGATTTATAATTGATTATATTTATCCGGAAATACCGATTATAATTTGATTACGCGCTACGTTTTGGCCTCCTTTCCCGAGTACTATTAAAATATCTGTCTCGTTCCTCTCCGTGTCAGTATTGCGGGCCGAAGACTAAAGTAAAACTGCGAAGGCATTGGTAAAGTTGACAAGCGACGCAACGAGAGGGTGCATGCGGAAAACAGCACTTAGAGCAAAGTGGTTTCCGCGCGCGTAGCGACTTTGCTCTCGTAATTTCTTTTCGCTTACTTCCAACAGCGCGGTTTTACGAGGTCGGCGATCGCAAATCTCGGAAAGCGTCCTTTTAAGTTTTCCTCGAACGCTGTGCGCATCCGCCAAAATTAAATTTATATAAAAGTCACATCGGCGAGGAAAAATAGCGAACCGGAGGAAAAAGTTTGGATGAGCCAGATGAAAGTGTATTTCTCTTGAAATCGTTTGACCCATCGTGTTTATAAAAAGATTTACACGGAGATATTAATTATGTGATTGGTATGATATTTTGATATCATATCGAATACTATGAGATATACGAGAGCGACGACAACATTGGAGATGGTTGGCAATCGATCAATATAAATTCAACAATCAGTCAATCCATCATCAATCAGAGGTCGGAGAATGAGTGATATCGTGTTACCGGGGAGCCCATCGAAGGCTCAGCGGAGTAGTTGTCATCGGTAGTAGCACTGAGGAGTACCTTTTCCATTTTGCTGAGATGCAGGGCATACTTGTCGTGCGCCCGGAATTGCATGAAACGCATATTACTTGACTGGGACAGTTCCGTTATGCTCTTTATGCTCGGGAAGAATCTGTCGAGGAGATGGAAGATAATAAAAGTTAAAAGCAAAAAAAGAGCTCATACATCAATTTTATCGATTATCTATACGTGAATTTTTATTCAAATAATTTTTGTGCAATAATTTTAAGATTTTGTAATTGTATAAATTATAAAAATTATTTAATTAGATTATTTTTAACGATGAAAATGTTGTAAACGTCAAATAAACTGCGCATTTATAGATTGAAACGCGTGTATATGCATGCGCAGTTAAACGGCAATGAATATCTTGGCCACGATTTTAGCTATAAGTTAGTCGAAACACTTTCCGTTAGATGAATGTTGTAATGAATGCAGACACTCACTTGAACATAGTTTGTACCGCAACTATTGTGTTACAATCAGCTAGGGTGTCCTCCTCGGCGGAATTGTTGAGCTCCTTGTTTACGACCACGACGTTCTCCGCTAAAGTGATACCAGCCCGGAGAAGGTCGTCCAAGCAGTCGATGGAGCCACGCATCCAATAGACCAGCGGAAAATAGGACACCGCATCGAGAAACGCGATTTCCGGTTTCCTCTCCAGCAAAAGGATGATCGGATTCAATGACGTTTTCGACCTAGGAAATACTCCTGCTCGTTAATTGTTCCCCAACTCTATTCACTCTATCCACGTCGATCGAATGATCACTTCTAACTAGCGATAGTTCACAACATTTAATGGAAAATAAAATATTCTGTTATTTTGTGTGCCTTTAGAGTTAGACGGATTTTAGGAATGTATTTTCATAAATTTTATTTTTGTGAAAACGCGTATAGAAGTACATATCTTTTTTTAAGTTTTTAAAATAGAAAGTTTTATTAAAAATGCAAACGGATATAAATAGTTATTTGACAATGCTCCAAAAATATTGGAACATTGTCAAACTTTAAGCTTTTTAAATTTAGCTTTAAGCGGGTTCAATATTTTATTACACGCGATTAAAAGAATATTCAAAGTGTCTTAAAAATAATGGGAAATTTTCTTATAATGGAAAGTGTTAAATGATATATGATTTCTATTTTCGAATGCAATTTTATAACTAAAAAATAGTTCAAACTAAAAAATTATATATTAAATCATCAATATTAGGATAGGTACCTAAAATGTGCTCTTAATGGTATTATAAAGTTATAAATCCCATTGCTGGCGTAATCGGCCGCCAATATTATGGTCTTATTTTGCCAATTGTATTCTTTGGCGTTCCTATAGCTGCAATGCTGGCATACCTAAATAAAAACGACGAAAAGAATTGTGAGTGTCGAGGGAATCAGCGCTATCTTTGTTCATAATTTTTGTACGGTTTAATTTTATTTTCTAAAGATATACCTGGGCCAGCTGAAGGCAACAAAGCGGTTTCTTCTCCTTGAGAAGATAGCACAAGGTCGGCGAAACTCCGATGAAGGGTGAAACCGGTGGGAATCCCTTGACAATCCTGCAATATCGTTGAAACTTGATTATCTTGTCCAACACTTTTGCGTGTGATGCTAAATTTTGGTGTCGTGCTTCTTATTAAGAAACGTCGCTCGGGAAGAGCCAAGTGATAACGCGATTACTTGGAAAGACGCCTCGTCTGCTGCTGAAGATACTGACGTATGATTAAAACTGTCGGATTTTTTTTTTTTGAGGAAGATTAAATTAGAATTGAATTGTAACTTTTATCATATTTTTTTATGTTAGCCACGATGTATAGATGCGCGACAGTTCTTTTTAGAACTCGCAAGATAGCGCGTTGATACGTGGCAAAGATATATAAACAGCTCTTTCACAGAAAGCTTAACTCTCGAATGTCGTTTACTGATTTTCAGAGCCACCTGAAAGCCGGAGATGGGTCTCTTGAAGAAGACGAAGAAAAGGGACAAGTCGCTTTACACCACTCTCATGTAGTAATCCCATGAGTATCATCGTGTCACGCAATCCTAACGGCAAACCGTGGGCAATGTTCGATATCAGGACAATGTTATGCCTGACCGGAAGCATTTATCGCGCTCATAATCCACCGTTGGCTTTGTGTTCGTAAATTATATCCTACAGTAATTTATATTCACGATTAATATCGCGCTACAAAATTTTACGACATAATTGACGTTGTTCAAGAAATACGAAAGTGTCGGGATAAAATTTTTATATTGTATTTTTAATCATCCATTTATTTTTGAGATACTCACATAATACAAAAATTATTTATTATTATTAGAACAAAACAGGCGCGCACTTTGCGCGCGTCATTTAAATTTTTATAACGAAGTAAAATAAATAATAATATATAATATAATATAATATTATGAACTTTTATATCAATAATGATACCTCGATAAAAACAAGTTCTAAATTTAAAATAAAAAAAGTAAATTTAAAATTATATTAATTAATTATTAAATCAACAATTGCAATATCGCGACATTTCAGTACTTTAATCTTTCAATCCTATGTATCATATTATGTAATAAAAATATACAATATTAATCCCCCCCAAAGAGTACATCTGGATGTGGAGCGGCTTAATACCTGGATGGATATTCCTTTATGGTTTATCTTAAAGAAATATCCTGAATGGGAAGCCAAGTACCCAAAATGCAATTTGGAACTACTCTTGATTCAGAAGCAATTGCATAATTTTGTATTGCTATTATCTCACAAGTATATGTAAATTGATGCCTTTCCGACAATATAAATTATACTATATATATATAAATTATTTGTAAGATATTATCTAGCAAAATTTGAATGTCATAGATTATATAAATTAATTGATGTGCTAAATTTCATCTTTTTTTTCAAATTTGTATATGTATAATCGGCATTATTTAATTAGACATTTATTTAATTTTGATGCTTGAATTGCATGTATAATTAATGAACAATTAGAATATCGATGACAAAATAAATTTGCATTTAATTTAAATTGATTCGCTGTTGGAAAACAACATCGATAGCGCATATATTATGTGAATATTATTATTGAAGGATTATCGACGACATCGATATATTGTTGTCCTCTGTTTTTGATATATATACTTACATAGGGAGCACTTTGATAAGCAAACCTCTAGTTTAGCTAAGACATGTATATGTTATAATAAGTAAAGTAAAATAAAGAAAAATAAACTAGGTTTATATAAAATAACTAATCAAGCAAATTAAATTGAGAGAGATGTGTAGAAGCGTAAAACGAGAGAGACTCACCCTTTGAAACTGCTGGACGGAAGTCGTGCGACAAGACGGCAGTGCACAAGGACGATGCAAGAAGGAAGACATCGAAAACATCCATGAGGACATATAGGGTGTCAGGCAGGACAGCATCGAGCAGCGATTCAACGGCACCGTCCGGTGCCGTTAGTGAAACAGGCATCGAGAGACATTGAAACAGGACACATCGACTTGCACGATTATACTTAAGATTAAAGATGGATGAACATTTCTCTCGCAGTGCGCCAAAATTGATTCGTGTCCAACGACTCATTTTTCATGTTCTCCATTTATCAGGATTCTATTTAGAGGTATTGTTCTCAGAAAGATAAGCCCATAGAAAAAAATAATATGTAATATGATATAATATATATATTGTAGGCGTGCGATTATTTTCGAGAGTATGTATCACGCCATCATATTATTGTCGCCTTGTCGTCTCGTCCTCGTGTTCGATTATTTATTTATATTTATGTTACCGTGTGCGAATAATAAGAGATTTGATCCATGTAGAAAATAACAGATGCGACCGTTCGAAAACAAACCAGAGCACGGGTTAGTTGTCGCTTAGCGATTGGCTCAAGTATGATAGGAAGGGATTATTAGGGAAATTAGGAGCGATATAAGTATCAGCGATTTTTGGTAGACAGATACACATAACGCTCTCTTTTTGGACACTCTCTCTTACGATCGAGGACCGCCGAGGTCGGAGCGACGGCGAAGAGACAAGGGAACATTTAGTATTTGGACGACAAGAGGCACCTTGAGTTCGCAATAAATACATTATACTCTAATTATAATTCCTTATTTGATCCGGATTCTTTCCTGACTAATTAATCCGGTCTCCTTATATATATATCTATTTTGTCCACAATCGTTTATCCGCCTACAATATAATATGGTAAAATAAATTATAGTCTGCTCTATCTTTTATTCTACTTTGCTCTATATCGTAAAATTTTGTAAAATTGTTTTTAGAAATTCTAAAAATTTCTTTATCTATAGAGATATCAAAAATTGTACTTGTTAACTATACAAGCAATAGTACTATAATCTACTTAAGTTTGATAGATAAAGAAAATTATGAAAACATAAAATATTTTTTTCGTTTATGCAAAATATTCTAGAAAGCACGTGCTTTGTTTGTACAGCAGTTAAACATTAAATGAGAAGACCGAGTATTTTTTTATCTCAAATATTTAAATTAAAAATTATAAAATAAAAATGAAATTATTTTTTTCAGTTAATTATAAATTTTTAATTGTAAATTTTTAACAAGAAATTAATACAAAGTCAAAATAATTAAGATTAAAAGCTTTCAGTGAAAATTCCTTTTCCTGAAATATATTGTAAATACAAAAAGCAGATATTTAATTTTGTTTTTAAACATGATAGTTATGTTATATTTCCTGTAATAAATTTAAAAACGCAATAATTTATTTTTCAACTAAGTTTTAGTTATCTATTTTTAAAATAAAGAAATAGTAATTTAGAATCTATGTTCTATAAAATACTAAAACATGTAGTATGGATAACAGATGGGCAAAGGATCATTGGCGGCATGATGAATTATGCATACAATACAACGTGATGTATTTTATTTGCGAGTATGTGCGCAAAAATGTTTTCAATTAAAAGAATGTATATATTCGATTTAAATTCAATAAAAATTTGTTCCTTATAAAATTTCGAATTAAAATTAATTTTTTATTGCAGCCGTTTTCGCTCTTTGTAAAGATTAGAGGGATATAAGTGACGTAACACTGGCTCTCGTGGACTATAACATTGTTCTGCTAACAAGACAATGACGGTGTTAAGAGTATTCGAAATGAAGATAAGTATGTCGCGAAGAGATCGCAAAGGCGCATGATGCATAACTCGACCTCTCTTCCAATCTCACACAGAATAAATAATACGGTCGTGACTCTCTTGACGCGTTCATGTCTTAACGCTAACAAGGTCATTAAATTAAAAGCGTTCCGAGTTGTACAGCTGTACTATCTTTCAAGAAGACACGAATGACTCTGTCTTCAACCTGATTCTGCAAAGGCTTTTTTGCGAAATTTCATGGTGCGCGATATTTTAGCGTTAATAAAATTTCAAAAGCCGAAAGATAATGTAAGTATGTCATGTCATTTTTAACGAATTTTAATCAATCTTATTTACTGCAGTTTAACGAAAATGTAGATATTTTATATAATAATTTTTTTTTATAATAGTAACAGAGTATTTTACTACTGTTTTACATTTATTTTGTTAACAGGTTACATTATCTGGAGATCGAGTTCAAAGTTGGTAAATGAAATTTCAAAAGCTCAAAAAATAATTTATACATGTATACGTGTTAAAACCAGAAGGATATTGATATATGTCATAAAAATGCATAAAAATGATATCAGATATCTCACAAAAAGATATCACACAAAGAACTAAAATAATTGCATAATAAAAATTGCATCGCGAGAAAATGATTTGCTCAAAAAGTTTAACTTCACATTTTCTGCCAAATCTAATGTGTAATGTATTATTATTATGATAGTAAGAAATGTTAAATTATTTTTTTTTATTTGTAATTTTTTAAAACCTTTTTTCATATATAAATTGAAAATTGATCTACTAATAAATAATAAGACGCGTGTAAATTAAGAAAAAAAGAGACAAACGGAATTGTACTTAATTAATTATTTATATGTTTATAATAATTGTGTCCTCTTTTTCTTTTTAATAATCATTCTTGAAATTTTAAAATCTTTCTTTTACAAGTTGTCTCTAGACATTGCAATTATTGTGCAAATATAAGAAATATGTAAAGTACATACAATATATGCATAGATATAAAATATATGTGTAATGCACATAAAACAAATCTGATGCATAAGATCATGCAGGTGCACGAGACAGAGTGCGAAATTATTTATTCTCGAAGAATCTTGTGATTGTGTGCTAGAAAAATCGTTCATAACAAATATTAAATAAATCGGTAAAAGAGAAAAAAGTGGACATTTAAATTTTTGCTAATAATTTTTCTCTACTTCTCCTCAAAAGTAAGTATGTTGATTGACTGCTCTAATCTTAATGAGCTATTTTTCGTGCTGCATTAATTGTCAAGGACCGCTGTCATGATATCCTTGAATGTAATGTGTATTACGAGGAAGAAGAAAATATACTTACGCGATTTTCTCACTAGGTGATCTCCAGGGAACATCGTCATCCATTTCATCTTCCGACTCGTCACCATCGTGATCTAAGGATTCCTGGCCAGGCAGATGCAGCGTCGAGCTTGTCAACATGTCTGGTACTGGTAAGATACTCGGTCTTCTGCTTCCTGATTGTAAACAAAATGAGCATGTTTCAATAATCATCGAGATATTTTCATAAATTTGACATTAATTTTTTATTAACATTAAAGATGATTCAATTCTCACGAAACGTATCGATATAAGTAAATTTCGATAATCATCAACTTGATAAAAAAGCAATTTATCATAATAATTTAACAATAGATAAATATTTTAACTTTATTAGTATTTTCATCATAAATAGTGGGCATATCCATTTGTAAAAGCAACTTTCAAAATTGGAGAAACTAGTTACTAGAAGTGCTTCCACCTACTAAACACACACATACACACACACAGGAAAAAGTATGTCAAATGCACAAGAATAGTACTTTCAACAAAATTATGTCATAGCAGATAGTACCCTTTAAATTCCACGAAACCTTTAAGCAAGTTTTATTTTCGCGCTCACGTTGTCAACTTGAATCTATTTCAAAAACTTTTAAATTTAGAGAACGTAATGCCCCATAAAAATTTAAAATAAATTTACAGGAACTAATAAATCACAAATGGTATCGCAGAGATTAATTAATAAAATTATACGCAATTTTTAGTTATTTATTTGTAGCACAAAAAATGGGATTAATATTCAATTAAAAATAATTAGATTGCGCATTTTGAATGATAAATAACAACTGACCTCTTCTTTGAGTTAAAATTTCTGGACTCAGTAGATTAGGATTCGGATCGAGAGATCGTGGCACATCAAGATGATTACCCGTGATTGGCGTTTGTGGTGTTGATCCTCCTTCTTTCAAACATTGTCTTGAGTCTCCGAATCCTCCAGGATCGAGATAAGTCGCTGCAACACATAAAATTAATTGCGATTAATATTTTTAATATTAAAATTCACAACTTCAAATATTCAATCATGCTACAAAGTTGCAATTCGTCCTAAAAAAACATCTCTGTAACTGATAAATATGTATAAACGAGAAAAATATGCCTTGGGGTGGGAAGCAAAAGGGAAAGGAACAATTTTGCATTAATAGAAAAAGAAATGCTGTTTTAATTTTTTGCCTCTTACAAATAAATAATAACTTCTGCCCTTAATAATAATACTATTAGAAATAACAGTTTTTCGAACATTCAGTGCAATTTATACAAAATATGTGAATAATATAAAAAAAATAGCATTTTGCTTCTAAAATAATGCAATATGTTTAAATTTTCACGTATTTCTTAATTATTAATTCTGTAACATATTTAATGTAATTTGCATCTTTGCGAAAATTTTTTCAATATTTTGAAATATTTACAACAATAATTATTCGAATTTTTTCGAATGTATTCAATAATTTTTTAATATATTGAACATAAGTATCATTTACTATTTATTTAATCCATAAATTTTTACTATCAAATTCTCTACGGTAGTTTAGTTCAAATTCTATGCATAAATCTGCATAAAGCAAGCAAGGAAGAATATTTACTACAGCCTCGCATCTTTCTATTCAGCCTTTCTATTCAATTCCTTATCGAGGGTCGTTGATGACTAATGCTAGATGTGGTGCATGAACAGTAGCATATATACGCAGATTACACATAAAGCGACGTGCAAGCATAAACCACGTCAAAAAGACGTAAATGAAAAGGAAGAAATAATTTGACATTTATTCGGACAGCTTATCTGCAATTCAACACTGTACATTGAGACTTAATCGCGCGTGTGATTCACACACAATATGCATTATTATCTCCAGTCTCTTTCATATAATCTTACTTTATAATGTGATAGTATACTTAATACATAAAACTATAATGTGACGTTTTTGCGGACAAAGAAGTTTCCAAGTCACAGAATTATTTAAATTTAATTATAATCTTAATATTTTTTTTACACATTAGATTTTATTGTTAAATTATCAAATTACGATTATTTAAAGATAAATTCTCAAATAAAATCCATTTTATAATTCAAAAGCTTTTATGAACAATAAATAGAAATTTAATATAAAAGAAAAACTAAATTATAACACTAAATTAATAAAATTTTAATTGGAAGTAAAATTTAATGATTTATTTTGTACTAAAAATCATTATTGTTTCTTCCTTTTTCTACAAATAATGCTTACTATACACTATTTTATTAATTATCATTTCAACCTTACATTTATAGCTAGAAAGCATATCGTGTCTTATGTATGTGTATGTGTTTCTAGCAAGTTAAGTTAAACATTTAACAATTATAAGCATTATAAACGTCTAATCAATAATATCTAATAGTGCGATACAAATAAATGTGTCAAAAAAGATTGATTTATAAAAAAACATTTATATATTTTTTAGTTGATACCAATTATGATCACAGGTGCTTATTTTGAATTATTAACCCTTTGTGCTCAGTAGCTTCACTCTAAAATCTCGGTCTTAGCTTTGTGGTAACTTCACTCAGGAATCTCCAAACAATATCAATTCGAAGTGAATATACTGGCTTCCAAAGAGCTAAAAGCTTTTCAGTTTAATAAATATTTAAAAAAATGCAAATTTAATATTATAGTACACCAATTAAGCCTGAAGAGATCGCGCAAAGAATTTTGTTAAGTATACGTAAATAAAAATTACGTTAGACTTTTCTTAAGAATCATAGATTCCCCAGATTTTATACCGCGAATATATTTCATCGCTCGATCAATCTCTAGTATAATTTGTTCAATTTTCCAAAGGCGCGATCTCGCAGACTAATAATACCGTGCTGAATCGATACAAATATATAATATACGAAGAGATAAAGAGAAAGAGAAATAGAATGAAAATCTAATTGTAAAAAGAGAAAATAGAGAAAGAAGATAAGAAAGAAGAAAAAAGCAGCGAGGCGCATGCGACACTCACGGTGGACATCGGATGCGAGTAAGTTGTGGTGTTGGATTGGTGTAGGCGTGCTAGGGAGGACCTGCAAAATAACCTGCGGCGGCAACGGGGCCCTGTGACCCTGAGGACCGTACTGAGGCCGGTCCTGCCCACGGGGCCCCGTGCAGGTCTCCTGCCTGCGTAGTGTTTCGCTCAGCGCAACGTTATAACTGTTCGTAGAAAATCGCTGGTGCTCATCGGCACCGTTGCTGATTGCTGTACCATTCCCGTCGCCGCCAGCGCCGACGGTGCAGCTGGTCGATATTGTTGTGGTGGTCGTGGTGGTCGTCGTCGCTGACGTTGCCCCCGACGAATTAACTGTGATCGCTGTGGTGTTGGTCGTCGCGGTGCTCGTCGCCGAGCCGTTATTCGCGGACATCGGGTCCGCTTTTGTCTCGACTATTACCTGGGTCCCTTCGTTGATGCCGCTCTGGTTGTTCGCGACCACGAACGCGGAGTTCTCTTCCTTGGTAATGCTCATGTAGTAACAAGTATCGGTTTTTTTCATTATATGCCGCGGTCCTGCGCATAAGAATTATCACAGGGGATGTTTCATATGTCTGTTCACTCGTTTTTTTATTTTTACAATTTTCTTCATTCTTCTCTAATATTTTGACAGTTGACTGTCTTTCAGGATAATCTTTGCGTAGATTACAACATAATATATTTTCATTTCTTTAATGGAAATTAGATTGTATATACTGCATAAGAAAGATACAGTATATAATGCAACAAGTTGACAGAAAGTCATTTATAATATAAAGTAAAATACAAAAGAATTTCGAATGAATCTTGTTTTATTCGTTCAAGAAGTAAAAAGGTAGAGAATGTCAAAATATAAAAAAAAAAAGAGAAAAAGATAAGAAAGAGAGAAAGAAGAGAGACACAGATAGTGTATGTCGTAGGATTACCAGGATTCAGCAAAATGGTATCCTCGTAAAACTCCGGAAGTTCCGCTGGCCTTACTGCGACAAGTGCAACCCCATATTTCCGGTGACTGTGAAAGGATGCGTACGTAAAGGATTTTCCCTCGTATTCTCCGAAAAAGCGGGAATCGCCGAGAATTATGTGATAAATCTCGTTTCCGGAACATTTACCGTAGAGCCTATGCCACTCTTCCTGTGACTGTTGACCTTCTCTAAGAACAGAAAAATTCCCGAATTCAAAATTTTTATCTTCGTACAACATACATATAATGCAACATTGAGAATGTCCGTTCACTCGTTTTTTTATTTTTACAATTTTCTTCATTCTTCTCTAATATTTTGACAGTTGACTGTCACTTTATGGTACAAAAAGTAATAGCAAAAGTATAATATACTTTTTCCTGTATTCTATCTTAATCAAATATATTAAAATCCCGCACACATGAAAACTTTGGAAATCTTATTATTATTAAATAAGTTCTGTTTGAAATATTTATAAAAAAATTTAAATTAATATTTATATTAATATTTATTATATTTATTAAACTGAATAAATCGGGAGCTAAATTCATATTCCGAAATGTCAAAATAGTCCACGTGGTTATGTGTATAGAACACGTGTTGCGAAACTTGCACGTATAATACCAGCACAGTAAGGTCTGCTGTATAATTGTATTCTGAAATAGATTGAACTTACTGTCCTCTGGACGTGTGCAACAATAGGGTGACTAGCGTCGATGCACCGGGACACGTACAATTGTTTGCCAATAGAGCGTACTTAAATTCATCTTCACACACCACGTGCTCCGCGAACTTCACGTGGAGCTTATTTTCCGGACGGAAGATTTGAACGTACTGAGGAACATTGGGCGCAAAATCTTTCACCGCCCACGATCTGTAATTTCAAAATTGAATGAATTTTCTTAAAATTACGCGCGCAAGAGGAAAAAGTACGTGCTTGACTTTTAGATATTTTTTTAACACGGTTTATATAATCAGCGTTACATAATTTATTTACATTCTACGAATGCGCCACATCTCTGAAAAGAAAATTTTATCGAAGAGGATATGTGCTAGATTTTTCTTAATTTTCATCAACAAATTCTTTTTACCTTAAATATCCAGAATATTTAAATATGTCGCGAGGTGCTTGTTTGAGTAAAACTACGTTTTATAAATATTTAGAAGTAAAGTAAGTTTAATTGATTTCGATTAATGAGAAGTCTTCTATTTACATACATTCGGAAGTAAAATTTAAATAAACGATGTGTTTTCGCGAAATAGATTGCCAGGGATAATTTTAGAATTATTCAACATTTATTTCTCGTAAAAGACAAAGTTTATTAGGAAACAAAAAATGACCAAATCGAGTTTCCGATGGCGATTAAAAGTGCAAGAAGTTTAAATTTAAACACTTTCACACAGATCGCTGACCTCAGTATCGTGTGCTCGTCAGCAGCGGTCTTATCGGCATAATTTCTCGCTGCCAACACGAAGCAGGCTTCCGCTTCGTTCATTCGCGCTCTCGCAAGATCGCCGTCCTTCAAGCACGAGCCCTGTATGTAAATCACTCTCTGTGCCCAGATCGGCACTTGCAGGATCATTCGCATTGTGGTATCGAGTTCCATAGGTGACAAAAGCACTACGTAATAGTCCTATTATGCAATAATCATATTTAGATTATTATCGAGCAAAAATTATAAAATAAGCAATAACAAATGCGTAGTGCAATTAATATTAGATGTATATTATATTGCATATCTAAATTTTTAATTATTTCATATAAAAAAAAATTAAAATTATTTTTTTACAAGTAACAACTATATTTCTGATCGTATATTCAATTATAGATTAGTGATTTGATTGAGTTACTTGTGACATTTGAGTTCAACGATATTTCGAGATTAAATGAACCGTTTATTTTCACTGACGATGAGTCGGAAGCTCGAAAAAGAATTTTTATGAAATACACGGGTCATTCGAAGTAGTGAAACATTCAGAGGAATACGTAATTCGTTCGTTCTAACCTGCAGGAGAGGGTGGGCGTAAAACTCATTTAAAAAGTCCATGATAGTGTCTGCTTGCAACGTCGTGCTGCAAACTACCACGTGCTTCTCACTCTGAGCTCTGTGAGACGAATACGAGCCGCCCAGCTTCTGTCGTTCCATCCACGTGAAAGCTAATTGTTCGAACTGCAATCAATATGAGATTTCGGTTATGCAATCGGCTAATGCATCTATCTGCGTGAACCATAATGAGGTAAACTCGAAACAGAAAACGTTGATATTCTATCCGCTTGTAAATTTAATACGAGCATATATCGAAATATTTGCAATATCAGTTAATTTTAAATAATAGTAAAATGTGATAATTATAATAATTCGATATAATATTATAGAAACCTTCCCTTTGTTGATAAATTTAGAAAAAGAAAGATATTCAGAGAAATATATTTTCTCTTTATATTTTTTCTCTCTTATTAATTATAATTTCCAAGTAAAATTTTATTTTATATACATATATTTTTTATTATAAATTTAATATATTATATTATATGTATACAAAACTTGAGGATTTCCTGCTTGATTTTCGAACAAACAAGCTTCATACTACATACAATAAATTTCATGCATGCATATTTTATTTATTATTAAATTTATTATTCATTAATAAAATCTGTACAAACGTAAAATTTCTAATATAATTTGTAAACATTTATAAATGTTTTTAAAAAATAGGAGAGCTGACTGACAAATATTCTTATTAATATTTATAAATGTGTTACAATTTTTTAAAAGTTGTTTGATTGTAATTAACTTAATATTTTACTTGTGAATACATTACGAGCACCTCGGTGTGATATCTCACATATGCTATCGTGTAACACAATTTCTACCTGCAAATTTTTAATTAACCTCATTAAACATTGCCGTTCAAAGAACTAAGTTGTTATAGGTCCTTTTCTCTAGAGTGACAAATTTGCATGTTAAATCATGTCGTTTTTAACACGTCTCTGCTATCTCGACTATGACCTTCTCGCACCGTCTAGAACCGGAATTTAATCAGATGCGGAAGTGTAAGGGATGGAGGGTTGACACATCGTGTTGACCTGTACAAATTGGCACGTATCTCGTATGCTATTGGCAGGCAATTTAACAGACAAATTACTGCGATCGACGAGGCTTCCGCGTGTTGAGCGCTGCGCAATCAATTGATGCCAATAGACAATGAGTAGACACGAGTTGCCCTTGTCGCTTTGTGCAATTAATATTATTTGGCCGATCGATTTCTCGAATTTTCGCATTAAGCGTTCGAACAATTTAGCAATATTTATTAATCAAAATTTAGAATATTTTATTAATCAAAAGAAATCATTCAATGATAAGATTATAACATGTGCATATGATTATGCACGTGCACAAAAAATACATAAAATTTGAAGAAGAACTTTTTTATATAGAGAGATACGAAGTAATTTAATAAAGCTTTAATGTATATAGGTAACGTAAAAAGCCTCAGGGTAGTAAAAAATTTTCTTAGAAGTGTGAGATTAATTACAAAAAAAGTTGTCACAAGATAATGCACATGTGGGTGTTAATATAAATCTTTAATAACATGCATATGTACTATTTTGTTTCAAATATATATGTACATATATATGTATACATAGAATCAAAGTCAGATATAAAAGAATATTAATTAGAACAAAGCGTAAGCTTATGTTAATACTGCAAAAAATTTAGAATGAATAATAAAATATAAAAGCAATACTGTATTTTAAACTGCATTTTTTAAATTAAACTTTTGACTTGAATTTAATTTGGAAATTTTCTACTTTTCTTGATTTTTCAAAAATCAATACGAAGGAGTATTTTCAATACAAAATAATTGACTAAAAATCATTTTTATTAAGTAAAAAGCTTTAAATTTTTCAAAAAAACATCCTCGCAGTTTTATACACTTTTTCTCTGTCAATTATATTATATATTATGCACCGGATATATTTTGCACTCTTTTTTTACGATTACGTGAAGATATAGAACTCTTCTTGACGTATATTCTCCACTCTTACATGAGAAATAAAAGTGTTATGTGCTTAGCGGATAGAATAATAAATATTCGTAAAATGGCGAGGGTCAACCGCGCGGCAATATGGCCAGTAAGACGAGCCCCATTTCGGTACATTTATGAGCTTCCCTGCGGCGTGACTTGTAAATAACGCCTATAAAAGACACCCATGAAGCGAACATCACTGTAATGACCACGACTGATTTGCATTAAACGAGATGAATACAAGTTTAGGATAATGTTTTTAAGTAAATTTTGTAATACAATTTAATGTTCTTTAAAATTATAATCACAATTTTAAAAATATATAATCACATTAATAAAATTAATTACACGAAAAGAATTTTAAATGTCTTATAAAACATGTTTGTTTTCAAGCACTTCTAATATTTTTTTTATTTTTAAATGTACTTATTGTCTATCATAATATCGATTTTCTTCAAGTAGCATTTTAAGTTTTAAAAACCGTTTTAATACACACACACTAAAATTTCTAATACTTTTATTTTTAATTTTAATCAACACAAATAACAAATTTTAATCTCCTATATAATAATAATGTAAACGTAAAAATTAGAAAAATTGAAACGTGATAGACTGAATCTAACAAATTTATGACTTTGATCAATCCATTCATTTTAAAAAATGTATACACACCTGTGTTGGTAAGACTATAAGCGCCACGCAGATCATAATGACCATGAAAAGTTGCGAGGGCCAAATGTCCGGCACGAAATCTCCATAGCCTACCGTGGAAAATGTCACTACGACATAGTACGTGCTTTGAAATAGATTTAAATGTCTGTGCCCCGCTCTTTGGAAGTGCTGGATCCCACATACGCTAAAACAGAAAATTCATTGGATCACTTACGATTAATCAGAGAATGACCACGAGAATATATGGAGGCATAGTTGTAGTCATTTTGTGTTGAGCATAAATCTACATCGTCTCTAGCTATATATTGCTAGATTGCAGCTAACGTAAATTCACGCTTTCTATAGTTCTGGCGCACTGCAGGCGATGCAACCTGCATTAAATTGCAAACGAGAATAGATGGTCATTTTCTTGATAGAAGAAGATGTCATATGAACCTTAATTTAAGACATTAATAATTTCAAGAGAATTCTTTTTCTTATAATTTTTATTTTTTCCTAAATTTTTAAATATTAAATATTATTATTCAAATATGTTTCTTTATTTTTAAATACATATCTTATTAAAATGTATTTATTAAAATATACTTAATATTTATTGTAACTTAAAATATTAAGAAATATTGTTATTTTCAACTATATAATTTGTATAAAACGTTATTTAATTAAAATATGTACAGTCATAATATATATAAAGATATTTCGAAAAATAATTTTTTTTAATTCTTTAAATACAAAAAGAAAAATAATCTAAAAGTATTATTACTACTAGACTACACAAACGCTTTTGATATTTCTGTTATTTATTTTACAATTGTCAAATTGTTCATCTTTGCATGACAATTGTTTGATGCTACGAATACAAGTATGTATCTCTTTATATATTCTTTTCTTATTTTGTTTAGTTAAATCGAATATAATTACGCACGCAATTAAAGCAGAGTTATATTATTCTTTGATAATCAAGTCTCAAAATTGCGACGCATGCATGCAAAAAATATTATTGCAATGCATAAAAAATATATTAATTAATTATGCAACGCATAAAAATTTAATATTTAAATCTTTAACAGAAAATACGAACAAAAAAATAAAATTTTCTACAAGAATCTTTTGTGATAAAATATCTACACTTTTATTAGACTCGCAAAACTCTATACCCTATACATCCATCACGTTGCGCGGTTCGCGCGAAACTGATTCTTGTGCGAGGTATCTCGAGCGCGAAACCGAGATCACGTGACCAGTGGGACTCACTGGTCATGTGACCACTGGTCATGTGACTTCTGATCATGTGACCACTGGTCATGTGACCATCGGTCCCGCGCTCGCGATACCTCGCACGAGAATCAGTTTTGCGCGAACCGCGCAGCGTGACGGATAAGTGGGGTATGGAGTTTCGCGCGAGTCTAATAAAAGCGTAAATTTTTGGTCACAAGTAGAAAATTTTATTTTTTTGTTTGTATTTTCTGTTAAAGATTTAAATATTGAATTTTTATGCGTAGCATAATTAATATATTTTTTATACATTGATTGCAATAATAATTTTTGCATGCATGCGTCGCAATTTTAAGATTTGATTATCAAAGAATAATATAACTTCGCTTTGCGTGCGTAATTATATTCGATTTAACTAATAAACAAAATGAGAAAAAAATATATAAAGAGATACATATATACAAAATAGTTGTTAAACAATGCGATAGGAATTATATACAAAGCTTTCTCTCTAAGTTACTAATAAATTGTTGCAATATTTATAATTAAATAACAAGATTTTCATTTATTAAGTTGCATAGTCGAAGATCAATTATAACAAATGGCGATTAGTTTTTGATTAATTTTCAAACAAAATGCATAAATTTAATAACGTATTATTATGCGTATATTTGTCCGACATTACAATTTTTTATAACTATTATTTGAGTAATTATTTCGTAAGTGATTAATTAATTAATTATTTAATTTTGATTGCTCTTTTATATTGACGAATTTACAATTGATAAATGTTTTTTTTCTTTTCATCAGCTCAATTGATGCATGACTTGTTGGATGTGTAAAAACCACTTGCAATTAGCGTAACGAACTACTGCATCGGCTTAAAATACCTAACATCAATTTTCAATCTGAATGAAAAAATTTGCGTTACTCGCAAAAGAGAGTTCTTCATTTCTTTCATCGCGATTTTTCATTCGGAGTTTCTCGCCGTAACGAAACAAATGCACAATTAGCTTGACTATTCGAATTAAGATAAAACGGCACCCTCCATCGTTCTTTGATCCTAATGAAATTGATGTAACGGTGAAGAACAGAAAAAGATTGAATCTATGAGAATAGTACTCTGTCAAATATATCGGATAACATTTGAACGATTAATATCCATTATGCATGCGATTCTTATATCTTGATATATATGTTTGTCCATCTTATTTATTTTTTCTTCTTTTTTATATTTGCGTTACTTCATTATGCTTTCGTTCTACATATCGTGATAATCGAGCATAGATTAATTTAGAATAAGTGGGTCGATTCATATACATATATCATTAATATAAATATATGCAATGCATATTTATTGTTATAAATAAATAATTTTATTGATGATTAACTTAATCTTTATTATTTATTAAAAAGAAAACTAATAAATAAATAATAATTAATAAGTTATTGACAATTCAAAATAATTTTACGTCTATATTACAATCTTTACTATTTAACATTTTATATAAAAACAATTTTGTTACATCTAATCTACTATTGCAACACCCTTATTATTTTTATTAAATTATTGCAACTAAAATAATATAACACAGCTTAGAGATAAATAATATATATTTTTACTATTATATAATAATATATTTGTAAACATTATTATTGCATATTTTTAATAGGGATAAAATAATTTTTCTACTATTTTCTTTATAATAAAAGAGTTATAAAATTTCATTTTAATTAATAAATATATTATTCTTATACAAATTTCTCAAATAATATTTAACTATTGTAGTATATTGCACTTTCGAAATTCGTTTCATGTGATGTTTTTACAAAAATTGCCAAAAGCAAGAAAGTTATATTGAGAAAAAGAAATAACCGTGTTCCTTTTAGCTGCAAAGTCGGTTTGTCATTTTGCTATATTTTCTCGTTTGAACGACAAATAATACAGTTACGCATTTTTGTTGAAATTTTTATTGTTTTCAATTCAAGTGTTGTTTGTTAGCGACGAATTTCGTTAACGAATTGTGTCCACGTGTGTGACAGTTCCAATTCAATCGAACATTATTTTGCGGAAATAAATGACATAGTCGAGATGGATTCTTCACTATCCATTGAAAAAAGAATTGCTAAAATTGTGCATATTTCAACGCTTTACTTTACAAATAAAATAAAAAAAATGTTTAACTATTATTCACAAAGGATAAAACTTTTTTACAAATCATAAATAAATATCGTTTTTTTTCCTCAAAATTCAAAAATATCAAACATCCAAAAAAATAAAAAATATAGAAAGAAATCTGATTAATGAAAATAATAATAAATTTATAGAAAATTTGTTTAGTTTAATTAATTATTTTGCATTGACATTATAAAGGAAAGAACCCCAAAGAGTTATAAAGTATAATTCTTTAAATTGAGAAGTTTATAAAAATTAGTAAAATCAGTCTTTTGAAGCTGGTCGGTAGTTAAGCTTGCAAATGCGATAGTGCATAGCGTGCAACTGAAACTATAGCGTTTATCGTTCATATTACTGCACGAAAGTCAAATGACCTGCACACTGATGAAGGTAATAATTAAACACTTTTAACAAGTCAATCTTGCGGCTATAATCAGTTTAGATATTAGAGATTATACAAGAACAGATAAAAATAATAAACAAAAGTTTCTTTTAAATTAATTTAAAAAAATGTATTCAAAAACTCATCACCTACACATATTAATTTATGATTTAAAAAATAAATTATGTCGGAGATAAAAAGTGGATATATTTAAGATTCTTTTATTCTATTTTTAATAAAATTGCATTTTTTTTAAATACTTTTCCATGTCTTTCAACCAATTGTGGAATTACTTAATTCGTTTTACTTCTTATTTCTTCGTATCTCGGTTTTAAGTGCGACGACTTTTTTCGCTCACATCTACCGTGACGTAGATCCGTCGCATCGTCGCGGCGCACGGACGGACGTCCTTGTCGTAGATAAGTTAACCGTGCAAGGGCGAGCTGACAAGTGCGCCGCTCTAGAATCATACCGTAAATAATAAAGCGCCGCGATCGATGATGATACCAATCCATCTGTACAAGCCGGTGTGCGATTATTTATTAACATCTGTCCCACATTACGATCTGGGTCGATCAGGTTCGTTTCGTCATTTTCTCGCTCGTTTCTAATATTGTATAGAGAAACAGTTACTGGTTACTGCGAAGCGTCGTTCATTCGCTTCTGTATGTTGAACTTGTTACTTGTTTATCAAAATAGATCTATGTATTCCTTTAGTTTTCATAAAGCTCACCCATTTTATATGTTAGATCTAGTATCTAAAGACTTGAGATATGATTACGTGAAGAAAAATGTGATTTAATTTTCTTTTTCTTTTATTTTTATTCGGATGAAATTGCTAAAACGTCATGGTGATATTAATTTCCAAAATTAATATAATTAGTTATTATCACATTATCAAAATTAGATTTAAAAAAAACATTACATTATTATGGCCTAATTATATATCTAATTGTAAAATCAATGAAATCAATAAGAGTATAAAGGCATATGTATGTTTATATATATAATACGAATATCTGGAAAAACGAACGTATATATGTATATGTACAAAAAATTTTTTTTCATTAATATCATATTTTCTGATTCTGCAAATTGCTCATCATAATGTTTTTTATGTTTCTAATGCTTTCACCATAAAATAATGCGTGCAAAAAATTTTGAAATATCAATTCTGTTAATATTTCATATTAGTTATACTCTCTTTCTCTCACTTTTCATCTTTATTTTGATTAATTTTATATTTACTATAAATATATTATAAATTAAATCTTTGTTCTAAAAACAGCTAGATATATTCAATATTTTATCAAATTAATAAAAGAAGATATACTAAATAAAAGAATAAATAAAGATATAATAAAAATTTAATGAATTAAAATTATGTCGAGACACAATAAAAATTGGGAATTATATTTATACCCAGACATAATTTTAATTCATCAAATTTTTCTGGAATACAACATTTAAGGACAAAAGTTGTTTTAAATCACCCAGTATTATCAAAACGAATTCTAATTAGGGAAAATTATAAAATTACATGTCTTAATTAATTTAAAATTAATATTTTATTCTGTTATCGTCGATATCTCACGTTGATATTTTTATTGACTTCCTGACTTTTGATAGTTTTCTAAATTACGTTGCAATCAAGCAGACACTCTTGTGACGTTCTAAATTACAGAAAGATCACACTGTATACGATTCATTTATTTTTGCAATTTAATCTCTTTCCCTCTCTCTGTGCTGTTGTTTATAGATACGACTTCATTAGAAGATTAAACAAGACGAACGGCAGTCATTCACGACCTGGATTTGTAAATGCGAACTCCTTCTGCGGTCGGAAAACTTTCCTCGTTATTCGGATAATACAATAAGTCTCGTACACACCAGCAAATGAAATATCGTTCGTTATGTAAACTTAAATAACGCGTCCACGAATATCATAATGGAAAAAACTTCATTACGATGAAATCGTGATTCAAGTCCACCGCAAAATATCAATTCACGACTGTCTGCATACGTGTTTCTTTATGAAGCCTTTATATTAAATATTTTGAGATAATGACATACTGCGTACGTAAGTTATATTTTTTTTTTCTATTTTTTCTTCTCGGTTTTATAATATAATTTTATAATTAAAATTTTTAATTAATATAAATTGTAAACATATATTTAATAATTGCTTCGATAAAAAGATCTTGTTTAAAAAATAATTTATATTTTTCATCAAAGTAAAATGTCAAAATAGATGACTGATTATTGAGAATGCAATTTTTATCAGCCTCAATCTAATTTTTCAATCTATAATTTATTTAAAAAATATTTGACTCTACTATTTTACTTAATACCATCGATGAACAAAATATTAATAATTTGATTGATACAACAAGCAGAAAACGAGAATTAATATTGACTCTTTTCAAAAGATATTAGAACTGTAGCTTTGAACAGATCATTGAAATTATTGCATATTGCATTAAATTATGCTCTAGCTTTGCTCGTAAATTAATATATGAAATTTATTCGTACAAAATCATCTCTTCTCAATCGCATTTTAATAAATTGCGCATATCTGATTTTATATTTGCGCAGCGGTGTGTGAAAATTATTCCACCGAAATGTGTAGAAGAAATATTGAGCACGGCTTTGAAATCGCGTGCAAATGAAACAAATAAGGACAATATTGCAAGAGAAATACCAAATGGCCACGCGCACCAATTTATTCATTCAGTCTAATAACGAAGCGGATAATACCGATCGTTGCGGTTTATTGTTGATTGAATATGGAAAACGCGAAATTGATATTTGCGTGAACACATGTCAAATTAATATTGTCCTCTCAAATGTGAATCCGTTTACAATTAAAATTATAATATTTATTATTATTAAGCTCACACAACCGTAATTCACCTTTCAATTAACAGCTTTAACCAACAGTTTGACATAATTGCTATCATCATTGCGTGTATATGTATTACTTTTACATAATTCAATATTTGAAATATAAAACAGATTTTTCATACATATACGCATTTATAGGTATACATTTTTATGTATAATTAAGTAATTTCCCTAACACCAGAAATGTTGGAAAGATATTCAGAGAATATCCATAGAATGTCGCAACATTCTATGGATATTCTCTGAATATCTTTCGAACATTTCTGCTGTTAAGGTTATTTAACTGATTCGAAAGAATGTACAACGATTTATTACAAAATAATGATCTAAAAGTTCGAGATTGTTAAAATTGTCTTCTAACTAGTTCTCTGTAAAATGGGAACTTATTTTCCTAAAACTTAAGTTGTCGCGCTGGGAATGTATCATTAGCGAACAAAGTAGAATAATGTGAATAATGCAATTTTATTACGCAAATTTTTTCTCGTAATTATCGGTTATAATAGGCACATAAAGGAGATTTTCGAGATTTTCAAAATAATTAAAAAGTCACAACTTGGCAAAATTGATTTTGACGTAACTAGCAATTTTATTCAATACTTTCACAACGTTTCGACCATTTGATTGTGGTCCTTATCAAGTGAGAATTCCATCAATTAAAATGAAATTAACGCAACATAAAACCGATCTTATTTAAAATTAATAGTTAAAAGAGGAACACGTCCCATCGCTATGATGTTTCGTCAACGACAATGTCGTGGTTGACTTCATAGTTTTATATCGTTTATTTATATAACAATTATTTTTTCTTAATTCCGGAATAATATATTTTTAAAAATACAAATGTAACAAATTATTTTGAAAGCACTCACCTAGTAAAGACAAGGCACAGTAATGTAGCACTAAGGATCATCAGCTGTTGACTCAATGCCGATTGGGACTTCTGCATTGCCCTGTGCAGATCGTTCTGAAAAGCGATTAACGATTATATTAACTGCAAATCACTGTTCTCAAAAAGAATAAAAGAATTTAAAATTCTTAGAAAGATATATTAAATAATATCAGAAAGAATGATTAAAGAATTGCAAAAGCTTTCTCAAAAAAATTATTAAGATATGAAATCACTCGTATTAAATTATGTTATAATAATTTCAAAGATATATCTTTCAAAAAAATATTTTTATTTCTCTTGAAAGCAAAAAGTTAAACTTTGTTTTTAAGTGTAACATAAATTACACTGAGTTGGGTAATAATTAATTAATTAGTTAAAAGTTAAAAAAACTAAGAAGTTAATAACTTTTAACTTAACTTGGTTAAATTAAAATGTATTAACTTCAACTAGTTATTTTTGACCTTAAACTTATTAACTTTTTTCTAAATAAAATTTTTTTTATCTGTGAATACCATTATTGCTTTTTTATAAGTTATAAACGTATTATTTTTAAATTAAAATATTATTAATTTTAATGTTTATTTGTCATCAATTGCAATTACTAAAAATATATTTCTATATAAATTTGTCATCAATTGTAATTACTAAAAATATATTTCTATTTAAAAATCAAAATTTCTTTGTTATTTGTTATATACATTTTAAAATAATTAACAAACAAAATTCTAATTTAATATAAATAATGTTTTTAAATTAATTTTTTATTTAACTTTAGTTAATTTAATCTTAACTTTATAAGCTATATAACTAAATTAATTTTATAAACAATTAACTTTAACTTAACTTAATTTTAAAAAATCATTAACTTACCCAACCCTAAAATTACAATATAAAAGGCAGTATAAATGAACTACTTACGAACATATTCTGCAGTGATTGCTTTGCCAACCAGCAGTTTAGGAACACCGGAATGAACAAATTTCTCATTGGTGGGTATAATAACTGCAAATATAACGTATCAATGCCTTCAGTTATATTATCTTCATTTTTATTATTTCTATCTATTAAAAATTATAATTAACATATTAAATTTTTAATGTCTTAATTATTGGGACTTAGCCATCTTTAATCATGCTCCAATTTTTCAAAAAAATGGCTTTATTTTTTAAATTAATTATTTGAATTTAATTGCTTAAATAATTATACAATAAATTAATTTTTTGATAAATAAATAAAATGTGATATTTGTATATTACGTTTATAAAGAACTTGATTTTCTTGAATCCCAATAATTAATTTGACTAATTGAACATATGTTTCCTCGTAATTTACAAATTGTGGCGACTAACGTATAAATACGTTCAATTAATTCTGTTCAATCAGTCGTAGGTATTTACGATGCAAATACGAACGCGACTGTCTAGTTTAACTTGAATTCATTGTGTTTACTTTCTAGTATCAAAGGCCGGCGAGTCCAACGGCAGAGTGTTTTGCAGAGTTATAAAATTGTTGTAACTGTGATTGTGCACATTGCTTTATATAAATTTGCTATAATTTAGAAAGTGTTCATATATATAATACATCGTTTATATAAGTTTAAATATATTCTTTAAAAAATCTCGTTTTCATATTTTCAGCAATATTTAGAAGTTTGAAAGGTATCAAAGATAGAGTTGAAGAAATTACAAAATAAATTCTTGCTTATGCATAATTAATATTTTTTAAAAACAATTTCTTTGATTGTTGATAAATGTATGTTAAGAAAATGTTATTAAAATTTTTTAGGCGAATTATTATTCTAATTATTATTCTACCGATATTCATTTATATACACGCGTGAGCGGCGAATTACGTTTCCTCTCCCCCCCTGGCGGCGCTGCGTAAGAAAGAAGGGAGAAGGTTAAGAAGGTCAGTTCCCCGCGGAAAGGGAGAGCGGTTGGACAGATATACGGCAGTGAGCCGTCGTGCGTGTCCTATCGAGTACAGTTTAACCTAATAAAGATCCTTTGTTAAGATCCACTAGAAGCCTTATTAGAATTACGCCCTGACATCATCTAAAACTATCCTGACACCACCTACAACTTCAGAAGTGGGATCGAAGAAGAAGTTAGCGAAGGATCCGTGAGGTTAATACACGCACAAGAGATATACGGGACTTTGAAAAGTACGACCAAGTGTTGTGGTCGATGCAGAGAAAACCGTGTCTTGTGTTACTCGAGTAGGGGGACAGAATATTCCGCGCTGTGTGCCACGAATATTTTGATGGTTATTCGCGCTGTGTGCCGCGAATCTTTGCTGCGTGCTAAAGGACAGAATATTCCGCGCTGTGTGCCACGAATATTTTGATGGTTATTCGCGCTGTGTGCCGCGAATCTTTGCTGCGTGCTAAAAGACAGAATATTCCGCGCTGTGTGCCACGAATATTTTGACGGTTATTCGCGCTGTGTGCCGCGAATCTTTGCTGCGTGCTGAAAGACCGAATATTCCGCGCTGTGTGCCACGAATATTTTGACGGTAATTCGCGCTGTGTGCCGCGAATCTTTGCTGCGTGTTAATTGTTCCGCCGCGTACGAGAGAAAGCGAGTCCACGTATCGCGCGCGGTGAATCGACGCGTAACGCGATATCCCTGTGAGATAGAATATTCCGCGCTGTGTGCCACGAATATTTTGACGGTTATTCGCGCTGTGTGCCGCGAATCTTTGCTGCGTGCTGAAAGACCGAATATTCCGCGCTGTGTGTCGCGAATATTTTGACGGTAATTCGCGCTGTGTGCCGCGAATCTTTGCTGTGTGCTAATTGTTCCGCCGCGTACGAGAGAAAGCGAGTCCACGTATCGCGCGCGGTGAATCGACGTGTAACGCGATATCCCTGTGAGATAGAATATTCCGCGCTGTGTGTCGCGAATATTTTGACGGTAATTCGCGCTGTGTACCGCGAATCTTTGCTGTGTGCTAATTGTGCCGACGTGTGTCGCGAACATTTTGACTGAGGTTAAACATTTATTAACACGTCGCTGTGTGCTAGGACGTATAGAAAAGGGAAGTGCAGTGTGTCGCTAACAATGGCGAGACCGCCGAGTGCGTATACGCTCGCCGAGATTAAGGACATTCTCCGCGAGAAGAAATTGCCGGCGACCGGTAACAAAGCTGACCTGATAGATCGATTGACTGCCAATGACCCGGAGATATGGACCACACTGGATGAACAGAGGTCACGGCAGAGCCGCGGTGTCGATCAGCCGATTGACGCGGGCCATGAATCGAGGGATGCCGTCGCGGGCAAGGACAATGAAAGCCAAGTAAGTAACGACGCATCCGTTGAAGGTCCTTTGACTGAGAATGACTTGATTCGACGAGAAAATGAACTACTTAGAAGAGAACGAGCTCTTCTTCAACGTGAATTAGATCTCTCGTCTAACGATATAACATCGAAGATCATGGAGCACCGCAGATGAATGATGGCGGAAGAAGACGTAATGGTCCACCGATGAGCGAAAGTGTAAGGGCTATTCGCGACTTGTTGAGCGAATTCGACGGCAGTGAGGGTACGTTCTGGAAATGGGAACAGCAGGTACAATTGCTGCGAGTGTCGTACGCCTTGGATGATGCTGCGACAAGAATTTTAATAAGCTCCAAATTAAAAGGACGTGCATCCGAGTGGTTTCACTCCAAACCACATCATCTTACCCTTGGTATAGAAAATCTATTGGCGGCCATGAAGGGAATGTTCGACCTTCGTCAATCAAGATTGTCCCTACGCAAGAAGCTCGAAGAGAGAGCATGGCGGACGGACGAATCATTCACGAGTTACTTCCATGATAAAATAATCCTCGCTAATAGGGTACCGATAGTAGATGACGAAGTTGTCGATTATGTCATCGAGGGTATACCTGATCGCAATCTCAGAGATCAAGCACGTATTATGCAGTTCGAGTCTCAGTCGGATTTATTGGAGGCATTTAAAGGATTGACGCTACACCCGAAGAAGTTCCCTGATCGCGAATGGAAGAAACCTATTGATCAAGGAAAAATCCAAAAGGATGGGAAATTGTCGATGAAGGAGAGTTCAGCGTTTAAAGGAAATCCAGCATCGTCGAGTGCAGATTTGACACCCCGCCGAAAGATAATTAAATGTTATAACTGCCAGGGAGTTGGACATCTGGCATCCGCATGTTCACACCCGAAGAAAGTTAAGGGAGGCTGTCATCGATGTGGTTCAGCCAGCCACTTGAAAAAAGACTGTCCCGAGAAAGAGTCGAAACCCGAGTCGACGAACGTTGTGAACTTGATCGAACCGATATCCGTTAGCGATCCGTATTGTGTACAGTTAAAGTTTTCGGTGTCCTTTGAAGGCGATGTGGATCGTGAATATGCAGTAGACGCGATAGTTGATCCCGGCTCCCCAGTGAGCCTCATAAAAACTGAGTATGTTCCGACGAGTTTGCGCGAACCGCTACCTCCTAACGGCGATTGTTTCTGTGGAGTAAATAAATCCCCTGTTCGCGTAATAGGCACCTTTTCAAAATTAGTCGAAATCGAAAAAATTAATATTCAGCTACGTTTTCTGGTAGTACCGAACGAAACAATGTTGTGTGCGGCATTACTTGGTCGCGATTTTTGTCGAGATCCGTTAATAAAAATCGAACTAGGTAAAACGGTAAAGATTACTAGGAGAAACGAGTCGACAAGCGAGAACAATTTTGATACCGAGATTATGCAAATAGAATATCTCAAAAATCCTGTAAAAATTGGAGAAGAATTGAATATTAATCCCGGTGTCGAATCGCATGTAGTCGAAAGCGTTCGAGGATTGTATAACAAAGAATACGTTGATAAATGGGATTCTGATGCGAGCGAACCGGAAACCGAGATGAAAATTTTATTAAAAAATGAACAGCCGATTACCTTCCGGCCTAGGCGTTTAACGTATGCCGATAAAGAAAAGTTGCAAGTAATATTAGACGACTTATTGAAAACAGGTACAATTAGGCAGAGTAATTCACCCTACGCTAGCCCAATCGTTCTCGTGCGGAAGAAAAATGGCGAGTCACGACTGTGTGTCGACTTCCGTGAAATAAATAAGATTACTGTGAAAGACAATTTTCCCACACCGTTGATAGATGATCATATTGATCGGTTAAAAGGAAAAAAATATTTTAGTAGTCTCGACTTAAGTAAACAGACAGTTAATCCGCGAATATATCGTTGGGCATTATTTTTAGAGCAATACTGTTATCAAATCGTACATCGACCCGGTACACAGATGAATCATGTCGACGCGTTGAGTCGATGTCATAGCATTCTGACATTAGAAGCAAATTCGTTCGACCGAACTTTATCTATTCAACAAGATCGGGATGTAAATATAGTAAACATTCGAAATAAATTAGAAAAATCTGAGGATAAATTCTTTGAATTGCGAGACGGTCTTGTTTACCGTAAAGATAAGGGTAAAAAACTCTTATTTTATGTACCGATATCAATGGAAAGTAATGTAATCCGTACGTGTCATGATGACATTGGCCATGTCGGCCTCGATAAAGTTATTGCTAACATTAGGCAAATTTACTGGTTCCCACAAATGAGAGAGAAAGTAAAGTGCTATATTTACTTAATACGTTTTGTTCCTATACGTACGACCGAGACGGTCGTAATGTCAGGCTGGCCGACTGTAGGCGAATTATTATTCTACCGATATTCATTTATATACACGCGTGAGCGGCGAATTACGTTTCCTCTCCCCCCCTGGCGGCGCTGCGTAAGAAAGAAGGGAGAAGGTTAAGAAGGTCAGTTCCCCGCGGAAAGGGAGAGCGGTTGGACAGATATACGGCAGTGAGCCGTCGTGCGTGTCCTATCGAGTACAGTTTAACCTAATAAAGATCCTTTGTTAAGATCCACTAGAAGCCTTATTAGAATTACGCCCTGACATCATCTAAAACTATCCTGACACCACCTACATTTTATTATTTATTGATATTATGTGTTAAATGACTAATTATAATAAGCAGAATCTAATTGTAAGAATGTTAAGATATATTGCTCATGTTGCAATTTATGATCTTTATTCTTTTTAGATGCTATTATGATTTTGAGATTACTTTAGTTGTTTAATAAATAAATCTTTCACATTTTTATTATATTTAAAGACGTCATACATAAGTTCAACTATTGACTGATATTCTTATATAACCAGATTACGTGCTACATGAATGGGATCGAGTAATCCAAAATTAATGAGATTAAACTAATTTAATTCTAAAGCGCAATAACGAATGCACATAATATCGTTACGTACTGTCCATTGTGAGATGAAGGTTATTCCCTATGCGACTTGCAAAAATCGATACATCATAGTCATATACAATTTATCGCGAATAAAAGTTTGTGCATATTTCCACATGTAAATGTTTTATTATTATAACATATTTTATTATAAATGTTTTATATATTTTTAAATCTTTTATATATTTTATAGCACCTAATTACACCAATCTCATTAATCAATCAAATTTTATACGTGTATTATTAACAACATATTATTTTTTATGTGAAATAAAAAGAAATTATAAAAATAGAATTAAAAGCGCATAAGTATAATTCTCTTAAAATCTTACCGTGACTGTGAATGGAATTGTGTTGACCAGTTCCAGAATGAAATGGAAGGATAGAAGCTGCTGCCAGACATTTCCCTGTGAACATTACGAGGACAGCTCAACATACCCAGCGACAATTTTATCAAAGTAGAAACTGCGAATAACGTTCCAAAAATAAACGTGCTCTTCGTCGTTCTGCATTTTCTAACCTCGTAAAAATATTATTAAAAAAAAATGCGCATTAATGAGAGATCTTTAAGATTTATTTTTCAATTGCTCTTTATCTATATATGTTTTAATTAATTCTATTAATTCTACTATTAATATTAAATATGCAATTTATTTAATTATTATTATTTCTTCGGAAAACTATATATACTTTAATCGTCTGAAGATTTTTAGGAATTCAGTTTATATCACAATATATTGCGTATAAAGATGTAATGTTAAGAGAACCAATCGGAAGTTATATTCTATAGATTGCTTCATAAAAATATCATTTACCGCATCAGCGCCGGTGCTAATTAACTTTAGTCGTAAGACAAAAAGGAGAACACAAACGTAATCAAATCAGGAACTTCTTCGTCTCATCGTCGAGCTCGCCGGGACTGTTGACTCGATGCACTTTCTCCTGTGCACTTTGCTGAGAACGTGACGTGCATATTACATTTTTGCTTTAACCGCGACCTTTCATCCTATTATACGTCTCTTTGACGTTAACGGCTGACTTTTTATCCCGATGAAAGTTTCGCATTCATAGGAAGTAAGTTCTTAATTAGGACAGAAAATATCTTTCGTTTATATTTACAATAGGAACTTCTTACGAGGAAAGAAAACCTCAAACAAACTTTGACGTATCACTAAATTAATATGTTGTTTATCAAAATCCCTTTGTAATTTTTTTATAGAATTTATTATCATAAAATTTTGTAGGTGCCTATGTCTCAAATTTTCTTTTTCCATTATTTTCATTTTTATATAAACAAAAGATCCATGATAAGATTTTCATTCTAGAGATTTTGTATATTTTATATATTACAAGAACTAAATAAACATAAAATTGTAGAATTAAAATTAATCACATTATATGAATAATTTTTATTTTAATAGAAAATTTTAGAAATTTAATAAGTAAATAGTTAAGTAGAGTTTTAAATAAAATTTAAGACTTTGTATACATAAAAAATTATGAAAAAATAAAATTCAAGTAAATTTTGTTGAAAAAAATTAATCTCTATATATATATATTAATAAAAAATATTTATAACAACTAAAGAAAATACGAGAAACATGTACGCAATGATAAATATCAGAAAAGTATAAAATTATGTATGTGTAGAAAATAAACGGTTGGCATGTAATATATCATAATATAATATCTTTGTATAAAATATGTATACATCTTTTTAACATATATGTGTATAATTTAATAAATTCATACAGCGCATATAAATAATATTAAACAATATTCATTTATGCAAACGTTCTAAATAATAGCGCGTCTTGAAATACTTTATAATTACCATCTCGTTTTATCACGGAATATTCAACAGCAATCAGGCATTGCGTATACCATACTGCAACTTCACGATAGAAACTGAATATATGTTAAGTTTATTCATATCAGCTTTGTAAATAGCACAAAACGTATCATATAATAAATGCATTAGTTTTAGGACATGCATACCATGCTATTTCTATTTTTTCTCTTTATTTAAAAAAAAACTATCTTGAAAAATTGCTTTCAAGTTATATATATTTTTCCCGCGTAAACTGAATTATTAATATTTTCACTTTACATCAAATTTTGTTATAAATAAAATATAATTGCATGTTATCGTGGATATAAATATTTATCAAGACAAAAATAAATCTAAAAACAATTTTATTTCACTGCTAATTTTTTTCTTATTCTTTTAAATTATCAAATTTATATCTGAGATATAATATTCTCTCTTACATGTTATTGCATAAAAAAATCATTCTTATTAACTTATTTGATTCTTATACGTTTTACTATTAATACATATTACTTGTCATTATACAAATAACTGCTTCTCTCGATGCATTTTTATAGGCATAAAATTTTAAATTTTTGATCTCTTAAATCATCGATCTTACTCCTCTTTTCTTTTCGACCTTTTCCCTTCAACACGATAAAAATTTATAACGAAAAATTTCCGAGCGAGATACACGACATCTTTATCGGATTGTTTCAGTCTAAAAGCTCTTCGCTGTAAATCCTTCAGCTTGGCTTTAAAGTTGAAGTTCTCTTGGAAAAATATGTCCGATTAGCCGGTGTCTACTGATACGCGTACTTGCACTCCTAGCGATTTCTACAACACCGTGATTACGAAAGGATCGCAAAATCTGCTGATATGTCCTGACGAGGGATTTCTTCCCACTAGGAAATTTTCATTTATATGCGATTCTCATACATATTTGCTTTCTTCCTTATGGCAACATATTCGTTTTAAATTTCCTCTAACCCGCTTGTTTAAATATTCTTTATCTAGTACACTTTCAAATAATAAAAACCTAATTTAATTACACTGTACATATATACTGTCATATCTTCTTTATTTACTAATAAAAGAGTTAATATTTCGCGTTTATATGTATCTGTTAATAATCATGACAAGGTATATGTGAATTATTTGCTTGAAAGAATATAAATAATAATGTTAGAATGCAATCTTTTCTCCATAAATGTTGTACAAATAAAAAACTTTAACACGATTAATAAAAGTAGCATAAGTTTTGTAATAAAAAGTCGTAGAAACTTTGTTCACTCTATTTACATTTTAAATACGAGTGTATATTACATCGAAACTACGCGAAGCAAATTTTCCTATATTTCTAGGAAAATTGCCTTATTGTAATCTCTCTGCTTTGTAACTTGTTTTTTTATATTGACTTCAAGATGCATCGACTTCCGAGCGCAATCACCGTCGCTATGTTGCAGACAAAGCCTTTGCGACAGAGATGCAAGCAAAGTATCTTGTGAAAAACATAAATCTTGCGCTAGCCGCATTTGCTGACGCTTTTCTTTTGACGCGTTGGTCTTTAATATTACATAGACTACTATATTTTTACACACACGACACAGCGTTGAGATGAATAATTCTGTTCGGCAGTTTTTAATATCACTAAAAATACGAAGACAATATATAAGTAAAAAAATTAAAAACTCAAATAAATAAACAATACATTTATTTTCTTAAAATGAATTAACGAAATTATTTAAGAAGTGTTTGATTAATTAAAATCTGTTTAATAAAATACTTCTGAAAATATATTTATAATATTAATACAAAATTTATGTCTTCAATTTAGAATTAAAAAGTCTTTATATCTTTTTTCTCAAATTCTTATACTATTTTATTATTATTTTTCCCATTATTGATTAATTATTAAAATAATATGTATTTATTCTCATTATTTATTTTAATATTAATTAATACAATACTTGATTAATTTTTATTTTATAAATCAAATGCAGATAAAAATTCTTCGTGTTATTTTTTCCCATATGTCTTTATTTTCTTATAAAAAAAATTATTAGTCGAACAAAGAAATTGGCAACGCAACGACTGCGCTGCAATAAAGTATTCGAGCTGGAATATTGGTAATGCAGAGATGCATTGAAATGCATTTCTTAATAAAGGATTTTTGCAGATAAATCGTGCTTCTTTTTTTATATTCATTATATCAAGCGCAAATGCGTAGCTTGTGGCTTCGTTGTATTCAAATAATAATTCAATAAAACCTTTTAAGAATTTCGCAACAATTAATATCTGTTTTTAAGATTTATAAACTAGTGGTTGTATATCGACGCGAATACAATTTAAAATAAGACCTTGAAGAAAAAAAAATCTGGATTTAATGTCTATCCGACTCATTATGATAGCTTAAATTTTCTATAATTAGTATGTGGAATAGAAATGTTTTTTACAATATAATTTTTAATAATAAAAGTGATGTGAACAAATCGCGAAAAAATTTTTAACAAATTAATATAATTATATATCTGCAACGTAATAATGTTTAATTTCAATAAAATTATTAATTTTTCATTGTAAATTTAAATGATTAAAAAAGACTTCAATATTCAATAACTCTCAAAATGTGAAGAATAATAAATAACATTTTTTCTAATGTTTCTTATCGTATCTACAATACGGAAGATAATTTGCGAAAATTTATATTATATCGTGCTACACTTAGAGATTGATTTTGAAATGGATTTGAAAAATCTGCTTTTAGTGAAATGAATTCAGTAGAGTGAATTTACGCAATACTTAACTTTAATTGCCTAACTCACTTAATATGGAACGCAAGGTAATCTGCGTAGCTATGCAGTTAACGACGACTTTTTAGACCATTTGCGACGCCTCCGTTTTCTCCTGGAATCCTGGAAAGGAAGACTGTAAAACTTTGCAAATCGAGAATGACGGGCGGAAGCCGACGGGAGAAAATGAGAGGCGACCGAAGAAAACGGAAGAACATGAGCGTCGAGCATGTCCGGAGCGTTTTATAATCAGTCATGATCAATCACGAGCCGGATTATAATCCGTTTCTTTATGTGGCAATGATCCGCGATTGCAGGTGACATGACCGATGCATCACGTTGCGTAGCGTTGACATATGACCCCGCTAATTTACAAATCCGGCGAATCTCCCAAAGGAGTTTCGACATCGAGTCTCTCTCGCAGTTCGCAGCTAAATTTACAAACAAGGAAGCTTGATGCGATTTTGCTTGACGCGCTCTGTTGCTGCCAACCCAAAATGGCTTTCTTAACCGCAACATCAGCAACCGCATCCATACGCTTGCATGTAAGACACTCTAAGAGATGTCAGAGTTTATATAATATAGAGGAATCATATTTTTTTACCTTTTATTCTCTCGCACAGAGATGAAGTTACCGATTTATTTTACATTTCGACATTTTGCGAACGCTTTTTTCTTGGTTATTATTACTAATACTTTAAAGCATAAAGATAATTTTGAATGGGTCCACCAATATCCATATTTGTATGTACTATTTTGTATTAAATAATTAATTAATTAATTGCCTGACTATATTAATTAAATTAATATTCCTTATTTCTACATTTAAATCGATCAATACTATTTTGAAATATAATATTTTATATTATATTACATGTATGCGTATATGTTTGCTGTTTTCATTAATATATGCAATGTTATCTAGAAAAATTAATTATATACGAAAAAATAAAATGTATAATATAACAAAAATCCATTTTCTACGATTGTTAAAAAGTGTTTCTCGTGATAGACATTACATAAAGTAACAGAATTAATTCTAAAGAAATTTGAAATGCGCAGTTCCCTTTTATTGATTTATATCCATGCCATATTTAAGTCTCATTGCAACCAAAGTATGTTATATTAAAAAGTTTAATAACCAGCACATTATATGTTAATATGCCTGTTTGTTATCGATCTAACGTTATCGACTTATCACCGGAATATTCAATTAATAAATAGCGTGACGAACTTGCTACAGATCGTTACAGATTATATCGCGAATTCAGCACGTGCGAGCGTATAAATATATCGCTGAATAAAACAGCAGTAAGATAAAGAAAATGATTATTTTTACGTCAATAAAACTTTTTATAAGCTATAATTTTTAAATATAACATAAGTTATTAGCTTACAACAATATTTCAAAATTTCATTTACAATCTTATATCTTATTTCATTTAAAAAATTAGATGTGTATTTCATATGTATTCTCGATATATGCATTAAAATAATAGAAAATTTTATTGATAATAACGTATTTTTTAAAAAGCATTCTTATAGCCAATTCTTGTTACATATTTGAAAGATTAATTAAAAATAAAATATTAATATGTATATTTAACATTTAAACTTTTAAAAAGTTTAATTTTGTATTATTTTTATTAAATTCTTTTCCGCGGGTTACTCTCTTTTCCAATTGAAATGAAAGAAAAAAGATTATTTGAGTCTCAAGCAAACGTAGAAGCATCTGTCGAACTATTAGATTAATTTTTATTTTACTTTTCGTGATTTTATAACTCATCTCCTATCAAGGAAATTTTCGTATTTTAAAAGAAAAAGAAGTCGAAAAGCATGATGAGAAAAGTTTAACCAGTCAAAGACGTTTCTTGCGACAATTCTCTGATTAATTTTCTTTGAACTTTTACACTCAAGTACAGAGCTGTATATATATATATATATAACGCAAAATAAATTGGCATAAAGCTTTCTTCTTTAAATGAATAAATCACCAAACTAAATGTCACTCGCGTGACATTGCACGTCAAATTTGCACATATATTAAATGCGACGTATTCCATTTATTTGAAATACGAAATTATTAAACTGTAAATCATGCTTTGAGCGAATAAGTCACACGCTCGATATTTGATTCACTTATAAAGATAAAAAACCCTACTTTATTTCACGTATATTCCAAATTTATGTTAGAGATTGCAGAACGACGAAGAAATATAGCGAATCTGGTTAAGCGCATATTGTACTTATTCATGCGAAACCATGCAAGAGATATGTAATAATATATATCTAATGTGGAAATATATGCATATCATCTAAACATAACAAAACACTATTAATTCAGACAAAAATGGATATATTTTACCTATTTTATTAAAACTGTATTAAAACGTAATATTATTTCAGATACAAAGAGCTTTGTGGTTTTATAAAAGGTGTTTTAATTTATAAAACAAATTTTAAACATTAATGTTAATTTCAAACTCTGTTAACATATAAAATTTTATTAATTTTTCTCTACACTTTAATATAGCATCTGATTAACAATTGGAAAAAAAATAAAACTTGAGAGAAGAAATAGTACAGTTATAAAACTCCTTGGAAAGCAAGCTAATAAAATAATGAACGTATGATGATCAGATAATAATGGAGAAAAGTCAAATATATAGAAAAAGGTGCTGAAAATTCTGTTGGAAATAAAAAGATAACGTACCTTGTAACCGAGGTAAGCAAGTAACAAGGCCTCAGTTAGCGACACCATCGCCAGGATCACTTGAACCACCCACAACTCTAAGGGTCTTCTGACCCAGAAAATCGCGTCCCAATTGATGGCCGGGTGTTCCTGGAACTCCTCTTCCGTCAAGTTCTGCGACGCGAGGAACTCGCTCTTGTTGCCTGGCGTGCAATCGTAACTAGAGGAAAAAAGAGGGAAGAATTTTAAGTGACGGAGATGCGATGAGAAGAAATATGACGAGATAGAGAGAGAGAGAAACACGAATTGTCGCGCAATATTTGCGTGCAGACGAATCGGACGAACTCGATAGGTTTTCGATATCAAGTGTGTCCTTTGGATTGCATCGGGGATTCAAATATCACCGTTTCGTGAGAAAAATAGGAAGGACGCAATATCGAGCACGATGAAAAAGGTATATAACAAGCGAATCGGGATGTACGTACTATATTTCCTATTGAAATTTTCGCATCGATGTGCGGAGTTTGTGCATGTGAGAGAGCTTGACTAAAATCACCCTGTTCCCGTCAATGACAGTTTTCTCGGAAAGCTTGGAATCGATAGCTGCTTAACGGAAATTTCATCGGAAACTTAATCATGAACTTACTCTTCGAGTATTAAGAGATTTTGGTAAATTTAGATTAAAGGACATGAATGGAGAAGATGAGAATCTCCTTTTATCAGGACATTTTTAACAATAGGAAATAACAAAAACTTACATATAATTTAGAATCTGAAATTTACATAAAAATTACAACCTTGCAATAGATTTTTCTCGTATAAAATAAAATTTTTGATAAGAAATTATATATATTTTTCTTTAATATTATATTATATAATAATTTAATTTAAAAATTATATGTATAAATTATCGTGATTTTTTTTAGAAAACGTAGAAAAATATTTAAAAATCCAGAGAAAACTGCCATTCTTCTATATGCAAACAACATTTATGCTACATCATATTCGTTGCACAGTTTTATCTGTGTCTTATTCTCAGTCGTGTTGGAAACGTAGCATGATATGCATAATCGTGCATGTTACGTTGCTCGTTGAAACGAGTTTTTCTTCGCAGAGATAAAATTTTTCCAGACAACTCCCGTCGACGATGAAATGGAAAGAAACCAAATGAAGCAATTTCTGTTTTCAACGTCAGTGATTATATATGCTAAAATATATATATATCAGATTATCTGTATTTTTTATTTCAGAATTCTTTACACTTTTTCATCAAATGTAAATCTATATTTTTTAATAAAAATGACGAGATAAATCAATAGTTTCTAAATCATTGTATGAACAGGACTTTTTATATTGATGAAAAATTCGTAGTTGAAAGAAAATAGCCGTGGGAGAGTTTGTGTATCATATAATACTATATATCTTCTTTCGCATAAGATAAGTGAAGGGAAGAAATGGAATGCAAAACTGCAGCAAATATTGTAAATATTGAAAAATACCAATTTCTAAAGGTAATGAAACAACGATCGCTTCAAACATTGCAAGAAGTCAAATACACAAAATGCGATATCTGGGGTTTCCACTTGAAAGATTGCTACTGCAGTTAAATGTTTAACGGGAAACGTACGTTTCCGGACACCGTAGATATTTAAAAAATATTCACTCTGATATTAAATGTAAACTTACCATGCTGCAAACGTTGGATCGTTGTCGGTAATAACCCTGAATATGTATAGGAAGCATGTTAGCAATTTGAAGAAGAGATTAGCAAGTCGTATCCTCAAACCTGAAACATAAATTTCATCATTTTTTTTCAGCGTTGTTTCGACGTTTTTATTTAATTTACATTTTTGTTATAACGTATTCAAGTGTCTCTTTATTATGTATGCAATTCCTTTATATGAAAATTTTTTATTTTAGTCTCTTCTATATGTACCAAAATATAATATAAAAGATAGGCAATTTCCATATCAAAATAAGAGTTAAAAAAAAATAAAGCACCTTATACAATTTTTTCAATCGATAAATTCTTTATATAAATATCTTGACGGCTATATATTGGGAGAGTTTTCTTTTTTCCTTTACATGAATATTTTTATATCGAGATTCTCAAAATTTTCTCAATTTTCAGTCGAATTGTATTTAACTCTCGGTTTTCCGCATATAAATGTCCGTTTAAAATCTGCTTATACTCCTTAAAAGCATTCACTCGTAAACTCTAAATATTTTAAATTCATTTTATTAGTTAGTTTAATAAAGTTTATATTATATAGTAAAGTTATAACACAGTCAATTGACTTTACTTATAAAGTTATATAAAATTTATTATAAGTTTAGTATAATAAAATTCAACATAAAATGTATATGTAGTATAATAAATATAATAAATATACATATATATTTTATATAATGAGAAATTTAATATAATAACAAAAATATATCAGTTCGTTATTATAAGCTTAAAAGTTACGTAATATTCGAAGAATTCACTGACTAGAGAGCAGAAGGCCGGCTTATATGCTTAGACCGGTATCGATTATCCGGATGGTTCTAACAAAATGCTTTAACCAGTTGCCCGCGACAAACTCCACAAAGAGCAACAAAGCGTTGACCTGTCGGGTTCACGATGTCCTAATGCACAGGTCAGGTACAAAGGTCAACACCGGCATGAAATCGTGGCGGTACAATATCTATTATCGACTACTACGATCAACCCTGAAAGAGCACAATCACGCTCTTTCGAGATATCTGCATCCTTGCAGGATGATAACCACGATATTCTTAAAATTGCCTTTCACAACGGCTTCACCATTTCAAAAAGAAGCAATCGAGATAGCTTTGCGATAAGTCGGAAGAACGTCGACGACAATCTGATTATTTCCGGCGACGACAAATTTAGCAGAAATATAACGTAGGGGATGGATAATGTAGTTAAGCTTCGAATTTATTTCTGGGGATGTATCGCGGTTTTTATCTTTAAAATATTCTCCCCCGTTTTGATATATCTTTTCCTCTTCTTTTGTTAAATTTTATTTTTTCAATTTAATACTAAATATATATCTCAATAATAAATATATATTTTATATAATATACATAATATATATAATATTTTATATATATTTAAATATATAATATAATATACATATTATATAACATTTGATATAATTATAATTTATTTATGAGATATATGATATCAAATGTATCGATACATTAGTACGTGATATTATACATAAAACGTAGCAAATAATTTTTTACAATAATCACGACGGCAATCATATGCCGACAATCTTTCAGAAATACAATGTAACACAAAACTGCTCAAAATATAAAATTATTAAAATTTATATATATATATATATATATATTATTGAAAAAAATTTAACATCAATTTTTTAATTAAAATTAAATTACTGCAAATTGATTCGCCAATTTTCAGTGCATATAGTATTTTTTATTGCAATTTTTATATATTCAAATAAAGAATTTAGCAATTACATTTAAAAGAAGACACGTTAAATTTTCTAAAACTATAAAATTTAAAATTTATTTATACACTTAATAAATTGTTTTACTTACTTGAACGTTGATTCTTGATGAAATATAGCTGCAGCCGTTCCTTAAATGTATTTTCGTTCACGTAATACTCGACACGAACTCTGTAAACAGACATACGATAATATTATTGCTAACTGCCTTCGCAAATTTATCGTAAATGTTAACTATAATATTATTTAACTTTATGCGATAGTTTGATTATTATATTAATTAATTTTACAGTAATATATATATTTTATATATAATATATACAATATTTAATTACGAGTTGTTCTTATTTTAATGAGAAGTTTTATAATAACATTTTATAGCAGTCTTACATATACATATCCGCTTTTGCAACATTTGCTTTTACAAACATGACGTGTAGTCTTGAGGGACGCATATCTATGTCTATAGAGACTTTTTTTATTGTCGACCGGAACTATTTCGTGATCAAAGAAATGACAAGAAGAATGTTGCTACGTTATTCGCATAACTAATCGAAGTCCAATAATGTGACGCATATGCGCTAATCAAATTTTCATTACAATTATCTATCATCTACTGTGCATTATATCCCAGGAGTTTTATTTCCCTATTCAGCATTAAAAAATAACATCTGTATAAAGACAATTCATTACGGAAATTGTTGCACTTTAACTACAGTAAATTATACGACAGCATAAAATTGTTTGAGAAAGTATATTAAATGTCGCTTATTATTTGGCGAGACCTATAAAAAGAGATAAATTTAATTAACGTATTTATCAGCCGCGGTATACAATTTAAACTGAATGCAATGTTTAATATTTTGCATAATAAGAAATCATTTTACATATTCTCTCCTAAATTATATTTCTATATATTTAATAAATATATAATTTATATATATATACGTTTCATAATAATTCAAATACGTGACAATTTATTAATTTATGTTTTTACCGATTGCTAATCTATATTTATCCCCGCATTCGAAAATTCAACTACAGCTTTAGGAACGAAACCGCGAGCGTGCAACAACCGTTGTTGTTATTGTCTCTACTGCGGCGAAGCGAATAGGCCGATCTCATTAGGCGCTCGTTATTTTGCCTGCTCGGTCATGCACCGCCGCAGTCCTTATTTTTAGCCCCGGCAAATGCGTCGGCGTTGCCGAGAATAGCGTCGCGTGACGTCACCAGGCCGGCGTCGACAGGCGGTCTGTCGTACGCGATCGTTCCCAGTTGTTGAACTGGTTCTTTGACCCACATAACGTCACGAATGCCTGACCTAGGCTATCCGTCCTCAACGCAAAGAGCCGATGGAATGAAACGATGCCAATCGAGCCTGCGTTCAACTTTTTACACTCTCTCACGCTTCGAGAAACAAGTGTGGACAGAAGTTTATGAATGCTTGCACACCTTTTCGCAAAATAACATGATATATGTTAAATGAGTATAATTAATTAATTATTTTTGTGATTTTATCAAATATATGATGTACAGAATGTACTAATGATTCTTTGCTAACGTAAGAGATTTTGTAAATTCATTAGAAAGTATAACGCTAAAATTATTTTATTTATCATTTTGTTGTTTTGAATATATTGCTAATATATAAATCCAAAGCTTATATTGGCCAGGAAAAAATGTTTAAAGTTTCTTGATAATACTTGTCTACAAACTTTTTTGAAGTTTTAATTATATATACATGCAATAAAATTAATCATTTGCATTTAATATTAAATTAATTTTAATTTATTTAAAAATTTTTTTTTAATAAATGTATCTATAGTTAAAGACCAAATGCCTGTGCAATGTCCTTAATTAAAATGAATTTAAACAATGTTCAATATTTCATCGCGCTAGCTACAAAGTTGACCAAAGTGACAAGTTTCCAATTTTTTATCGCAAAATTGCAATTGACACGCGCTTATATTAATACGAAAAAATTATTGCATTGAAGTACGTACTGTTTCAAAATAATTTGAAAAATCTAACGAGAAGTGACACATCACCATGTATTTCAGCAGTGGTGACATTTCACGGAAAATTGCAGAAAACGATGCAATAATGTTACAAAGAATTTAGGAATGCGAATTCTTCAAGGTTTGCGAGAGCAGCTGACAATTCTACGAACGATACAAAGCGAGATGTATCAATATCACTCTAGTTTTGTACACGAATATTGCCGCAGGCTCTCCGCGATAATTTAACGCGATCGGCTGTGCAAACGAGAAAAGTTCACGTTTAGTGGACTGTGAGTAATATCACTGACAAAATACGTGAGCCGATGTTCTTGTTTCAAGGACACGCCCGGGCTAAAAGAATACGTTGACATCGCCACGATTAAATCTCTGTCATTTTTGCAGATATAAGTTCTCTTTCCCTTTCTCTGGTCTTTAAAAAGCCAACGAAAAATTTAGACTAAAGTTAATCCCCGCGAGAATTGAATTTATCTATATTTTTCCACGAAACTTCACATACTCGAAAGAGTAAAAAAATCTTCGGGAAAAGGTTTATTTATGGTACTCAAATTGTGATCTACCTAACGTCGTATTAAAAAAAATAAATAAATAAAATAAAATTTCTGTCGCCGTCTGGAAAATAGCGACACAGATTCTTCGGATTACGCGTGAGAAGTCCATGAATCGCAATGTTAATGACCGTCAATCACTCATCATTTAGGATCGTTTCGCGAGGTGACAAATCGAGAATGGAAACGACGTGTTGCACCGGGATGATAATCGACAGCTTCATTATCACGCTGTTTCTAATTACATAGGGATGTGGTTCACTGCGCGATCGTCAGCGATCATTTCCAATTGAGCTTCCCAGTGGATGTGCAGTAAAACCGATGCAACTCATCTCACTCGAGACTCGAATTGATCCGCGAAGAGTAAGAGATGAGTTTATACGAGATGTTTGCTTGTGGCGTATATATAAACTTTGCCTTAAACTTCGAGATTAATTCTTGCGGTGAAATCAAATGAATACAGAATGTTGTAGCTTTATATGTACATATATAGAGAATTTAAAAAATGGATTAATATGTCTGACTATAAATCAGAAGCTATTCGGAAAAAAATAAACGTTATAAAGCAAATATTATATATTAATCAAAGTATAACATTTGATATATCTGTAACTTTTAATATTTAGGAAAAATTCGAGCTACGCAATTAAAGTCATTATTTCAGCGGTCGTAATTCTTTAAAATAGTAATGAAGTTAGTCAACGTGATTTTTCTCTCAATGGACAAAGAGTACTAATAATAACACCGCATTACTGAAATTTATTAATTCTCCATTCAGTCTTGAATTTGTAAAACACTTTTAAAATAATCTTTAGTTCCAATAAATCGTTATAAATAAACTTGCTAGATGCTTTATTTCGCCAATTTGAAATTATATATGATCAATTTGAATTAGAATTTTTTTTATAATTCTAATTGTTTTGTAAATCTAATCTAATTATTAACCTCTATTATGTTATACATAATAATTTGTAAATTAAATTAAAGCAACAGACTAAAGCATCGGATACTAAACAGGAATAAATGTTATGTTCATATAACGTGAATTAGTTAGATGTGATTTGTAAATTATTAATGTTAATATAGTTTCCTGCATATATATGTCTAATCATATCAGCATGAGTAGATAAAAATGAATAGATGAGCGATTTGCTTTAGCTAAATTAAATGTATAATTATTTGCCCATTGAATTACAAATTCATACGTTCATCAGCAATTCCCGCGCGATTAAAGAGAAGCACTGTTCTGAACCAAATATTTTTATTTTAACAGATGTCTATTTTATCTATTGTAGATTGAATCATCACTAAAAATAGTTAAAGTGATGAGTTTCAAAAAAAATGTCATTTCAGTTTTTACGAACTTTCCATATCGAACAAAAGCTAAACCTACATTACTCCGTGTAATAATGAGTATGAATTTATTATTATGCTATTAGCGTAAATGACAACGCTATTATCTCTGATTTTAATACTTTAATGACTAAAGTTCATTAATTTAATGACAAGAAAATTATATAAAAAGCTCCGAGACTTCAATTGCGTTGTGTACTAATCATCCTTGAACTATAATTAATTTCTATTTTTTATACCAAAAAAGTATTAGAGCATATTTCATGTGGAAAAGTCGTGATTGTCGATTAATTAAACTCTCGTCGATAGGAAAGACACGCAAGCAATTCCGATTTTTCACTTCTTGATTAGATTGAAATCTATTTGGATATTTTCCACTAGGATCATTAAAAATCTTTATATAAATTTTATCAAATTATACCAGTATATACAGTTTAAATGTACTGTCTATATATTATAATTACATTGTTGTAATTCATATTTGGGATTATAGAATTAGTGCTATGTATTTATTTTTTATTATAATAATTCATATTAACATTTTTAAAAGTCTTTAGAAATTTTATTTAAGAAACAGTGTTTTTTTATTTCTAAACTTTTAAATTATAATATTACTTAAAAACTTGCATGTTATTATTATATAATTATAGTATCGTTAATAGTCAAAGTTATTTCTTGATTTATATTTCAAACTGTTTACTCAATTAAAAAAAAAAATGTTTAGAAAGGATTTCATTTTTCATTTTATTTTAGACAGTTGGTCTTTCTAAGACACCTCATCAATTTTACCTCTATTTAAAGCAATTCTCAAAGAACAGAGAATCGTCTTGTTCACATGGACGTGGATATCATAACTCCCAGTGGAGATATCACTTCAAGCAATTTATAAGCAGCCATTTCTCATCATTCTCTAAACTCGCCGCATCTCGTATTTATCGGATACGGATGCTTCATGTAACATTGACACTACAGACTAACAAATTGAAAGTTTAACGGATAGCTTGACGCTGTAAATAGCCTGTCGAGCCACTTCTAAACTTTCCTACATCGCCAGCTGACTTATTCGTAAATGGATATAGTTGGTAAATTCAATAAACTTTCATCAAAGGTTGGTTAAAAAAAGAACAAACGAGGAAAGCTGTAAATGTTCACAAAAAAATATATAAAAAATTAATCTTTAACTTACAACGTAAATTATATTAATATTTTATTGCAATATTTCGATCTAGATGAGAAATATCTAATTTTCATA